GTGTCATATAAGTGTAATACTCTATCAGCTCTTGCTTTTTTCTCAAGGGCATCTTTGGAACCGGGAATTGATCACTATAAATATTGTCGCTCTCTAAAGGTAGCGACGCATTCTTTTGTTATTACTTTACACAAATGTCTTGATCAATAATAACTTATATACTTTTAAGAAAATTAAAGATTACATATGTAAGAAATTAAAAGAGTATTTGGTAAAGTATATGAAAAAATGTGTAGAATAAACTTGATACACTCAAGTAGGACTAACACTTGTGGATAAGTCAATGTGTATTTATAAAGGAGTCCAAAATATTCAGCACTTATGAGTGTGCTTGAGGTGGGTTGATACTTCGGATTACATTGAGTAATAGTACGTTGATGCGCTGTGGTACTTGCTCGGAAGGGGCAGGATTGTTTGTTATTTTGAGGTGTGGTGAGGAAGGGATGGTATCTGTGAGAGGTTGTGTAAGTTGGTACATGATAGCTTGAGCTTAGATAGTGTGTAGGCCCAGTAGGGTAGAATTACTGTGCATCTCTAATATTAAAAGCTATATTTTCGCTATGGATGATTGTACTGATATAAATGTAGCAGAATATTTTTGTGTTTTGTGTTGTATGTGTCGGCTTGGATCCGTGACCTTGCAGCAAATCCGTACCCACCTTGGCCTTGCTCAGGAGTGCTGGGGAGGTTACAGGCGTGTCGGTCACCCGCGCCCGTCGGGGTTGTGTTTGGTAATTTTGTAACAAAGTACGTGGTATGAGGAAAAACGTTGTAAATCCAAACTGTACAACTTCTAAGGCTTAGAACCCTACGTTGATGGAGGTTTGTGGCATAAGGATAAGTAGCATATTTAAAGTGCAGTGATTAACCGAAAATGAGAGATACTTTTCATGGAAGAGTAGAATTATATAAAGGATGGTTAAGACATGAGGGCTGTTGTATTGTTTTCCTGGGTAAAGGCACTGTTGTTATTGATAATCATGTTCAAAATCGTAACATGAGTATTTCGCCAATGCCATGTAAGGTTCTACCACAAAAAATATTGTAATTTGGTATTATGTATAACATTGTGGTGTAAGAGATTATAATCGTGACAAAAAAGGTTTAATTGCATTTCGGTAAGGGTAAGAAAAAACGTAAAAGGCATAGAAACCTTTGTTTTTGATTAGCAAAAACCTAGTAGTTGAAGATGTATATGCCACTGGGTTCCAGGCATTTTGTTGGAAACCTTCAGGTGTCAGATTCTTTAAGAATTGGAATATACAAAGAGACCTTTTGATAGGAGCATAAGGTTATTTAAAAGATTCCAGTAGTACTTATATTCTTCTGCGCACCTTATTGGCCTTTTCCAAATATGTTGGAGTGGATAATTGATTGAATGGCCTCTTAAAATATTTCCCATAGATGGCTAGTGTGAGCAAAAACAGAACTTTGAAATAGACCTTAAGCACAGCAATTGCAGAAGAAGTTGTTAAAATGAAGAATGAGAAAATATACTAGAAAATGGATGTAGATGAATTACAATGAGACTTAAGTATCAGGTATAATGTTACATAAACAATTCGCTATGTGATCCATTTACGATTTTTGCCTGGTTGTTTACTAGTAAAGTTAACAAATTATGTTATAAAGGTCAAGTTATTTTTCTTTTGTTATCCTTTGGTATCCAGTTGTGTTTTAGTAATATGTGTTTTTGAAACTCACAAAGAACCTGCAAATCCCTATTTTTGTTTGAAATAGTATTTAAAATTGTGCTTTTAACCAAATATTACTTATAAAAAATAGAAATCGAAGAAGGAAACCGGATGTGGCCAGGAAATAGATAATAGTTAAATTGTAATGTGAATCGCGTAACTAAAATAGGATGGGAATCTTTTGTAGTTTTGCCACAAAAACCATAGGTTGTTTTGATATAAAAGGTAAGGTTCCTTTAGTGAAGTGAAATTCGAAAAATAAAGATAGATGAAGAAAATATATGTAGATAATTAGAGACAAACTGTTAAGCTGTTTTTTTCTCAGAGTTGGACGTGAATTAGCCAGCTTAGTCGTAAAATATGATTGAGCCTCTTAAAAATGTCAAAGTGAGCAAACAAATATTTTCTAAATGTAGAATTGTTTAGGTGGTTGTGGTGGCAAGAAATCATATTTTCTCAACTTGAACAATTTTTTCTAGGTGTTTTAGACAGCATTTTGGATATTGAAAAGAATGACCATTATACTATAGTTTTTTGAATAAGATGACAATAAATATTAGATAAGTTTTAAAAGTTAATGATTTTTTAAAAATATATATGTTTTGAAAGTTAAAAGGTGACTTTTTTCTATTTTAGGCCTCTATCAATGGAAGCTAACTAGCAGTTGAAACATCAAGCCAGAATCTCTTCAGAAATTCGCTCATACGCATGCCACCTGATATAACTCAGGACATGTCTTGAGGAGTTTAAGGCTGATGGGTATCTTTTGATACATCTTGGGTGAGCATGAAAAGGTAAGTTTTTGTTAATTGGAGAAGCTGTTATTTCAGCAATGAATGACATTTTTTCATAGAGTTTAATATCTGTTTCTCAAACTTTATCTAAATAACATGGCTACTGCCTATGCCCTGAAATCCAAGATATTTTATGTAATCATTATATTAAGATCTTGTATTCCTTACTCCATAGAGGTGATTGTTAAAGTGTTAAAAAGGTGTAAAGGAATGCCTACAATCTTTAAAAATGTCTCAGTAAATTTAATAGTTTATTGGCCCTTACTATGATAGACAGCCACTGCTTGAATCCACTGTGAATTTACTGATGAAGAAAATACAATCTGTATTCATCTAAGAGTCTTGTACTTTAGGGGCTTGAGAGAAAAAGAAGAGACAGAGACCGAAGTAAGAAAGGAAACCATAAATAATATAAGAGAGGTATAAACTAGGAGAGAAACTGGAATTAACTAAATATGGAACCATACAGCTTTCAGGTTTCACATTTATAATAATGGTGTTGTGGTTGTGTGCTGATACTAAGTTCTCATTAGATTTATGTTGTTTGAGGAGAATCCTTTTACATCTGGAAATGGGAGAGGAAGATTTAGGTTGAGGAGTACTTTAAGCACTTTAAAAGGAGTTAGATATCTGCATGGTCTGCAGGGCTTCCAGCCTTTCGGTTTTCAGCTTGGAGGGGGCCAAGGGTGCAGCTTTCTTCAGTCGGTACCGAATTCAGGTTGATGGTTACATGAGTCGCCTCCACCATGCTGCCTAGGTTCGACCCCAGTGAGAACAAAAGTCATGTACCTGAGGTGTACAGGTGGTGAAGTTGATGCCATGTCTGCTCCGGCTCCCAAGATTGACTCCTGATCTGCTCCAAAGAGGTTGGTGATGGAAGGATTTGAAGATTGCAGTGAAACTATTCAGAATGATAACCCAGATTGAAGTGGTACCTTCTGCCTCTACCCTGATCATCAAAGCCGCGAAGAACCACCAGAGACGAATGAAACAGAAAGCATTAAAACAACAGGAATATCACTTTTGATGAGATTGTCAACATTGCCAGACGATGCAGCACCATTCTCTGATGAACTCTCTGGAATCATTAAAGCGATCTGGGACTCCCAGTCTGTGGCTGCATGTTGATGGATGCCACCTTCTTGACACCATAGATGGTATCAACAGGTGATGCAGTGGAATGCCCAGCTAATTAAAAAGTACAAAGGAAAATATTTCAATAAATGACCATTTGACACGCCCGCCCACACACACACACAAAAAGGAGTTAGAAAATTCTCTTGCGTGGCCTCTAGAATATATGGAGTACCCACTGGGGTAAAATAAGAATTATGATTCTTTCATTTCACTTCTTGCCCTAGTCAATTCACAGAACATTAGAAAGACTGTTGGGCATCTTTTTAGAGTTTGTTGTTTGTAAAAAATGATGGATAATACACTAGAAGCTTAATTTTAGTACTCTTTTTTTGTTAACTAATGGATAAAAGTGTTGCATATACATTTTGTCAAATTGATATTTTTCAGAAATAGCAAATTTTATTTAGCTTCATGTGAAGTAATATGCTTTAATTTTAGTTCCTTGCAAAAAGAGGTGTGAAAGAAGACATAGCAACTTTGATGCACGAAATATTTCCAAAGGAAATAAGAGAGAGCGTTGAAGAACTTCTTTTCAAAAATAAAGGATCTTTTGATCCAAAGGTAATTTTTGACATTTATGCCATGAATTCCCTTTTCCATATCATATATATGCTTTTAAAATGTAATGCTTTGTCATTATCAATTGTTTAGATTGTGTAAAAACTAAATTAAAAATAAGCTATAGGTATTATAATTGGGAAGTATTTGCAGCAGAATTAGGTAAATTAAATCTAAGTAAGCAGGGGCAGATTTATCACTTAAGTGGGTTTTGAATCTTTAGTATCTACTATCATTGTTAAGTTCCCAGCTTATCATTTTTTACTTCCAACTTTTCTGATATGCTTTTATTTTTTCCTGTGTATTTGTCATATAATAACAGATATCTTTGTTAGGATAGTTGTATCTAATTTGAGTGAACAGTTTAAGTGTCATGATTCTGGTATTTTTAATATCCTTATTCAAAAACTTAATATACATTTTCTTTTGACTCCGTTACATTAATGGTTTCAAATCTTATTATCTAAAAAAGATGTAGCACATGTGTAGAAGAAAAAGAATTGATGCTTAAACATTGTTATGGATGGCACATGTATTCATTATAAATGTGCCTGATAGAGTAATTATGTTGATAAAACATCTTTATTTTAAAGATTCTGTGTGATTCAAAAAGATTTATTTATAAGCAAAAATTAGAGTTTATATATGTTTCTGTTAATCAAAATAGCAGTTCACTGTGTTTTAATATTAATTATAAAACAAAATATTCATTATTTGGATTAAGTTATTAAATATATGCCAAAAATGTGTTAGAATTAATTCCTGTTTTATTTGAAATCAAGTCAGGAAGCTAGATAACCTCTAATGGATTTTTCAGAATGCTAAGCGTGCCAGTACAGCAGCTGCACCTTTGGCTGCCTGGGTTAAAGCCAATGTCCAGTATTCTCATGTCTTGGAACGAATTCAGCCTTTGGAAACTGAACAGGCAGTACTAGAATCGTAAGTGAAATATAAATGTAAACAATTCTAACATTTACTTATTTTCATGAATATGATGAGTTTATTATATTATTTATTACTTATTTTTTCTCTACTTCTACAAAGTCAGCTACCAATATTAAAACATATAAAATGGTTCAATGATTCAATTAAATACAAATTCAAAATTAAACAGATCAGAAAAAGAAAGCAATTAGAAGGAGATGGACAGTAGAACCAGCTCACTTTTTCTCTGCCATTATTATGTTGTTGGAAGGATAATTTAGTAGAAGTTCCTTTAGAAGGAGCCAAAGTTATATAAGGAATAATATTAAAGTACAAAAAGAAGGTTCTGGAATTTTATTGCCTTCATATTTCTTTCACCTTCTAAGTTCTAGCACATGTTTAGGATTTATTTTCCAAAATAGTGTCTGGGCAAGTAGGGGAAAGATTTAACCCTTTACTATTGGAGCTTAAAGATCCAATCTGCTGTCATTATTGAGTCAGCATTATATTTTATCTCTTTTGTTCTAAATGTAGACCAAAAGGTATGTTATGTTCTTGGTTGTTCAATATTTGACATTAATTATTAATTTTCTACTTTTAGGAAAATTTATTTCATTTATCTTATTTCCTTTCTTATACATCTTTTTGTTAATATTATTGCTTATGTATTACAAATTTATCCACAGTCTGTTAAAACCCTAAAACATATTTGGTAATCTTTGTGTTCTATTTATTTTTTCTTAGAATTATCCCTTCTACAGCCTTTTCTCCTGTTCCAATCTGGATTAATTCTTTCCTAGGCCTGCTGCTCACAGCTGTTATACTTCTCTTTACCTTTGTTCTGGGGATTACCCTTGTTTCTTTTCTTTATTATATCCTTTTATACAATTTGAATTCCTGTCTTTCTCTTTTTTAGTTTAGTTCTTCCGTTTTCTACAACACATCCTGCACAGTAGCTTCCTAAGAAAGAGTATATGGGATTGAAAGTATTTTGCTATTTTGCATGTCTAAAAATACCTATATTATACCGTCATCCATGATTAGTAAATGGGCTGTGTTTAGAATACTAGGCTAGAAATAGTTTTAGCTTACAATTTTGAAGCCACCTTCTGTTGTAATGATTCTTAAAATTTGGTCCCTAGATCAGCAACATCAGCATCACGTTGGAACTCGTTGAAAGTGTAGATTTTTGAACTTTACCTAGATTTATTGATTCAGATTCAGATATGCTGATGGTGAGGGTTGAGGGTGTGTGAGTCCTTGCAGTCTGTGCTTTGACAAACTCTTTAGGTGATTTTGGTGCACACTAAAGTTTGAAAGCTTCTTCTCTGCCTTCTTCTAGAGTCAATGTTGCTGTTGAATGCCATTTTGATTCCCAATGTTTTGTATGTTACCCCATATTTTTTTTCTCTTTAGAAGTTTTTAGGGTTTCTTGCATTGTGAAATTTTATAAATCTTTATAGTAGATGCTCACTGTTTACTTTATGTTTAGAAATTCATGCATAACAGTTTGGGAACGTTTATTACATTATTCTTTTAGCAATTGCTTTCTGTATCTCTGTATCATTTAGAATGCTTTTGGTTGTAGATTTGCAAAATCGCCACTCAAAATGGCTTTAGAAATAAAACAATGTATTACAAACAGTGAGTCCCAAAGTAGGTTGATCCCAGGGTGGTTAATTATGTACCTCCATTATGACATCAAGCTCTTCTGAGCTCTTCCCTGCTTTCCTGGCATTCTCAATTTATCTGTAAGTTAACTGCCCCTTTGGACACAAGATGGCTGCTAAAGTTCTATTCAGACAAAATGACATGTAGTTGAAAGAAAGATATTGTTTTTCCTGTAAACTTTTTTTTTTTAATAAGCGTGCACCTCTTTTTAAGAACAAGGAAATCTTTCCGAGAAGATTTCCACCAGATATTTCCTCGCACTTGCTTTCTCCTTGCTTAAAGTGATTAGATCAGTCAGTATCTACCTAATCTAGGTGAGGGGGGAGTGCATGCCAGAACAAATCTGAGGCTTTATCAATGGTTCTGAATAGGCAGGTAGAAGTGTTACCTTCATTTTCTTTATCTGAAACTCTATTTGTCTTTTTTTTTTTTTTTGAGACAGAGTCTCGCTTTGTTGTCCAGGCTAGAGTGAGTGCCGTGGCGTCAGCCTAGCTCACAGCAACCTCAAACTCCTGGGCTCAAGCGATCCTTCTGCCTCAGCCTCCCGAGTAGCTGGGACTACAGGCATGTGCCACCATGCCCAGCTAATTTTTTTATATATATATCAGTTGGCCAATTAATTTCTTTCTATTTATAGTAGAGACGGGGTCTCGCTCTTGCTCAGGCTGGTTTTGAACTCCTGACCTTGAGCAATCTGCCCGCCTCAGCCTCCCAGAGAGCTAGGATTACAGGCGTGAGCCACCGCGCCCGGCTCTATTTGTCTTTTATGAGAATACTTGGACTAATATAATATGTTCTTATAGCTTCTGTAATAATTTCAGGGTTTTGCTAGCAATTATAACATCTTTGTACAAAATAGAAAAAAGCACCCCTTCTGGAAAGACACTCGGTCAGGTGTTTGTGCAGTGCACAAATATCTGGCAGTACACAGTAGCCCTACCTAGTTACCATGAGTTTTGTCTTTTGTTTTAATATCTCAGATGTATTGTCCTTTCCATTATACTGTTTCATTTTGGTTTTTGCTATTACATTTGTAATTTGCAAAGTTCCATTATTTTTTAATTTTACATTTAAAAAAATAGCATCTGTTTTTTACATGAAATATGTTCTCTGTCTCTCTCAGAATGTTAAAGTTTTTTTTAATTTTACTTTTGCTTCTGGCCTTGATATTTCTTTCTGGATTTCTTTCTGGATTTGTTTGTTGTGTTCTTTCAAGTTAGGAAGCTTCCTTGATGTGTCTAGTCCTTGGCTGTTTGTTAGTAATTAATTGTGAAGTGATGAAAATCTGGATGGGAGCTTTGAGTGTGTGACCTGGATTCCTTGGCTGCTGAACTTCACTGTAGGTGATTAATTGTGGCCCGGCCATTCATTTGATGGCAACATCCTAATATTTGTGGATATTTTTTTGGGGAAAGGTATCACTCATTTTTTAAAAAGAATCCTCATGTCTTTTGAATAGGGTGTGGGCAGGGATGGATGGATGGAGATGGGTGGGGACATAAGCTAGACTTACAGCATTCTGGGTTGTGTAAAGAGGATAGTTTACTCTCAATGGAGGAGGGAATATGAGATCAAACTCTTTATATAATAAAACCAACTATTAAACGATCCTCTGTATTTAGCTTTATTGTTACCTTCGGAAGTACCTGTTGTCTATTTTTCCTGAGTGTTTTGGAATTCTGCTTTTGGCTCCTCTTCCTGCAGCATTTAGCTTTTGGCTTTTTGCTTTCTGGTGTATCAGTTATTACTTTTCAAAAATTTTATTGAAATGTCTCCTTTGTCATACTGTTAGCTTTCTTTCTCTTTATTCTTGTTCATATATATCTTTATTATTCTCTTGGTTTCATTTTATTACTAGTAGGGTTTTAGAAGAGATAGAAGATAAATTAATATGTTTAGCTTACCATTTTTATACAGAAATCTACACAAAAGTGTTTTTTTAATATGGATTCCTAGAAGTGGTATAGTTGGCTTAAAGGATACATTTTTAATTTCAGCATTGCTTTTCAAGTTAAGTTCTAATCAAAAGTGTTAAAATTCTGAAGTAGTAACGGTTTTCATTGTTGTATGTTTACTGTAAGATTACATTTTAAGATGCTGCTGCTGTTTTATTATTGATTTCTAAAATAGAATGACTTTTATAATATTGAATTTTATTTTAGAAATTTGAAGAAAACTGAAGACAGAAAAAGGAAACTAGAGGAGCTTCTTAATTCTGTTGGTCAAAAGGTATCAGAACTCAAAGAGAAGTAAGTTAAGTTTTGAAATATATTTCAAATTATATTTGAAATATTTGAGTATTGAAATTTGAAAATCTTAGTTGTAATGACTGTTTTCACTTCTTTTGTGATTAATCGCTGTACAGTTGGGAAGGGTATAGAATGATATAGAAGGTGCTCCTTTTAAGGAAAATTTTTGATAAGAATAAAAATCTTTTAAGTCTCCATTTGTATAGCTATTACTATATATATTCCCAAGCACTGGTGAGAAAATTGAGCAAGAGGAATTGAATGTAATGAGTTAATGCTAGGAGTGTTTACATTTGACATTTTGATATCTTTCTTATTATATTTTGATTTTTAGATTTTAGACTCTTTTATGTCAGATGACCCTATGGGTTCATCTATTCTATAATCTTCTCAAAAGTGCATTAGTATGTTGAAAATTCTTTCCTTTTAACTTTTGTCGTCTTTGTATTAAAACAAAAATTCTTCATACAAATATTATACTCAAGCTAAGAACCATTATGAATATGATTAGTCTTAAAGCCTTTTGTGTATCTCTGGGTCCCTGTGATTGCTATTTAGTACAGGGTAGAAATACATCAATTTGGGACTTACTGTAAATCTTGCAACTTTTTTTTTAAATTGTGAAAGAAAGCTGAAGAATGATGTGCTTAAATATAGTATGTGTTATAGTTGCTTTTTGTTTTATGAGACTCATACTTTTCTATAAGCTACAGGATTTTTTTGTAAGTGATGTGTAATGCTTCCTTTTTTTTTTACAGAAGAAAAATAATTATACTAAGAAATAAATTCATCAGATTAAAACTATGATTTTTTTTCTCTGATTCAGGAAACAGTTCTTTCTCTCTCTCTCATATTCACTTATAGAGAAAAAAATAAACCCCAAAGAAAACTTTAAACCCATAAACCTAGTGTTTTCAATATTTCTGAACAATTTTGATGTTAGAAGCATAGGAAAGAAATCACATCATTTTTTGCCAGGGGTTATTAGAGAAGTATAAGGAAAATAAATATAATTTATTATTTTCATTGTCATATGCTCACAATTGGTACTTTAATATTAAGCTAATTCTCAATTGTTTATTAAGTGATTAACATATATGGCAATGTTTTGATTATTAGTCACTTGCTGTGTCAGGTGTTGTACTAGGCACTTTGCATATTATCTTTTTTTTTTTTTTAATGCATATTATCTTTTTAATCCTTAGAATGATGATGAGAGGTAATTATTATTCTTCTGTTCAGCAGCTTAGGAAGCATAAAATTAGATAGGCTTATTTGCCTAAAGTTGAGCAGCTAGTAAGTGACTAACACAACATTAGATAGTAGATTTGTGTAATTCCATAAAGTTTCTGTTCTTAACTACTACACCATACTATTAACACCAATCTTTTGGAAGAATTATTACAGAAACTTTTGGAGTTAAATTTTAATTTTAAGTAGAACAGAATTACATTTTCTATTACGGAGTCATTGTCAAGAATGAGTTAATGTTGATCACTGTGCTTTTACTTATTATGATCCTTGTTTAAGGTTTAATTGACTATAGGCTGTGAGTGACAGTCTTATTTTCTTGTATATCAACAAATAATTGGAAAACAAACATGATTTATCAAATTTTAAATTTGATAAAATTAAGGAGATGTTTGCCATTTTTAATACAACTTGTACAGACACATGAATTGGTATAATTTAACAAATATTTATTGCAAAACCATGTTCAAGGTGTGGTATGAATTATTGCAGTAAGTAATGCTTTTCTCTTTCTTTTTTTCTTTTTTTTTTTTGAGACAGAGTCTCACTTTGTTGCCCAGGCTAGAGTGAGTGCCGTGGTGTCAGCCTAGCTCACAGCAACCTCAAACTCCTGGGCTCAAGCGATCCTTCTGTCTCAGCCTCCCAAGTAGCTGGGACTACAGGCATGCGCCACCATGCCCGGCTAATTTTTTCTATATATATTAGTTGGCCAATTAATTTCTTTCTATTTATAGTAGAGACGGGGTCTCGCTCTTGCTCAGGCTGGTTTCGAACTCCCGACCTCGAGCAATCCGCCCGCCTCGGCCTCCCAGAGAGCTAAGATTACAGGCGTGAGCCACCGCGCCCGGCCTGCTTTTCTCTTTCTTACTTCTAGAGAAGTGCTGTCCAATGGAACTTTGTGAGATGATAGAAATGTTCTATAATCTGTGCTGTCCAATATGGTAGCCAGTAGGCATATGTGGCTACTAAGTGCTTGAAATGTATGTAATATGACTGAAGAATTCAATTTTTAATTTTATTCATTTTTAATTAAATTTAGATAGTCACAAAGTGGCTTGTGGCTACCATATTGGACAGCTCAGTTCTAGAATCTTGTGCCTAGGGGAGGAAGGAAAAAGGTACTTAGGCAATGAAATGTACTGTACAGTGCATGGAATTTACTGCCAGGTACTTCTGTATATGAATTTTAGATCCTTTACTGATTATTGGATTATTTACTAACCTTGTACAATAATCTCTTTGGGCCTAACTTTCTATATCTGTAACAGGAGATTTATAATACTTATTTTGAACTGTTCTAAGAATTAAATGACATGCTACTTTTATGATAGTTGGTATAATATTGGCCATATTATAAGCACTTACATATTTGTTGAATGAGTAATTATGTAGAATATTACTATTATATTTAACAAAATAATAAAATTGTACAAGTGTTTTTCAAGGAAAATAATTTAAAAAGAACTATAAACTTTGGTGAATGGGCATATAGGGAGAGATTATGTACAATACACTGGATATTTGTGGTGAATTTTGAAATTTTATTTACATTTTTAGTGGTAGATATTGGAGGTGGTTGGGCTGAGGGGTGAGGGTAGGAATAAGGGAGTAGTTGGAAGGTATCCAGGTAAATAGGACATCCTGAAGAACACAGAAGATAAAGGATAGGATATTTATTGGGAATATAGAATTCTTCTGATGTTGACATATAGTTTTGCTGAACTGAAATAGAATGAAATAAAACTAGAAAGATGGATTAGATAAGTTTTAAAATGGGGCCTTAAGTGCCATATTGAGAAATTCGTATAAAATGTAGTAGGGCATGGATGCCCTGTGAAGTTTTTGGAGGTAGAAAATGCTACACTTCAAATATATATGCTGATATATTTGTTCTATTAATATTTTTTACATTATCATTATTATTAATTAAATTCTGTCATAAAAGTTCCCTTTATTATGTAAGGATAATTTCATTAAAAATTTCTCTTAAATACTTTTTGCTTTTAATTAATGTTTTCATAGATTTCAGAGCAGGACTTCAGAAGCTGCTAAACTTGAAGCTGAAGTAAGCAAAGCCCAAGAGACAATCAGAGCTGCAGAAGTCTTAATTAATCAGCTTGATAGAGAACACAAGAGATGGAATGCACAGGTTTGTTTAAAAGGGGAGTCCTTTAAAACTGTGGTCCCAAACCCCTGGATTGGGTGCAGACCAGTGCTAGTCCATAGCCTGTTAGGAACCTGCCGCACAGCCGGAGATGTGTGAGCGAAGCTTGATCTGTGTTTACAGCCACTCCCCATTGCTCCCATCACCTCCTGAGCTCCATCTCCTATCAGATAAGCAGTGGCCTTAGATTCTCATGGGAACACGAACCCTACTGTAAACTGCATATGTGGAATCTAGGTTGCACAGTCCTTATGAGAATCTAATGCCTGATGAGCTGAGGTGGAGCTGCGGCGGTGATGCTAGCACTGCGGAGCAGCTTCAAATACAGATTATCATTAACAGAGAGGTTTGATTGTGCAGAGACCATCATAAATCAATTGCTTGCAGACTCATATCAAAACCTTATCAGTGGCCGGGCGCGGTGGCTCACGCCTGTAATCCTAGTACTCTGGGAGGCCGAGGTGGGCGGATTGCTCGAGGTCAGGAGTTCGAGACCAGCCTGAGCAAGAGCGAGACCCCATCTCTACTATAAATAGAAAGAAATTAATTGGCCAACTAATATATAGAGAAAAAATTAGCCGGGCATGGTGGCGCATGCCTGTAGTCCCAGCTACTTGGGAGGCTGAGGCAGAAGGATTGCTTGAGCCAGGAGTTTGAGGTTGCTGTGAGCTAGGCTGATGCCACGGCACTCACTCTAGCCTGGGCAACAAAGCGAGACTCTGCCTCAAAAAAAAAAAAAACCTTATCAGTGAGTGGCAAGTGACAATGTAATAATAGAAACAAAGTGCACAATAAATGTAATGTGCTTGAATCATCCCCAAACCATCCCCCCGCCCCAGTCCATGGAAGAAGTGTCTACCATGAAACTGGTCCCTGGTGCCAGAAAGGTTGGGACTGCTGTTTTAAATCATAGGAAACCTATAATGTAAAGTATTTGTTTGAAAAAAAAAAAAAAAAAGGAGAAAATATCCATTAATTTGCAGGTGGCTTAGGTTAAATGATATAGCTGTAAATGGCCCATTATGTGAATTAATCTTTAAATGAATATCTTTATATGAATAGATTATAGACAAAATAACCTATTTTCCTTTTACTACCCAATGTTATTCAGGGGAAGGGCAAGATGAAAATGAATTGAAGGGCAAGATGAAAATAAATTGATGGAGAATTTTTTACTCCTAGAGACTTTTTAAAATTTACCTTCACCAGGAAAGAATTTTAGGATTTGATACTGTTAGTTATTTATTTCTTCTTCTAATACTCTATAATTTTAACTTTGTTAGTCTTGTCTCTTGTTTTTCCCTTTTTTATCTTTAACCAGTTAGATTCTTTGCCTCACCTGATCTCTTCTGCTCACCCAGTAATGTTGTCTTCATTATTCCCTTCCTCACCAAATTTGCTTGTAACTATTTTGAAATTATTTCATCCAGTTTTAAAATCAGCTATATCATGATGATTACCAGAGCTATATTTCTAGACTGCTGAGTTTTAAATTTATGTTTTCAACTATACTTTAGACATTTGTATTTAGTTATTTCTCAGGAACTCAAACCCAACATGTCTGAATTATTTGATTTTTCTCATTCCATGTTTTTTTTTTTTTTATTTCCTATTTCACTGAAGGCATCTTCTTCTGGACATCAAAACTAAAAATGTGTGGGTTGTCTTAGACTCTTCCTTGTTTACTCATCATATCCATTTGCAAATATTCTATGTATTTGTCTCCCATCTTTGATCTAATCCTTTTCTTGTCTGGATTTTTAAAAACTTGTCTTCCTCCTAGCTGACCCTTTAATTAGTCCATCTTTCATTTGTCATCTGAATTAATCTTTCTAAAACTCAATCAGATTATGTTACTCACTGCCCACTTAAACACTTTCAATGTCTCATGCTACAGGTTAAAACAGAAATTCCTTTGCATGTCATGGGAATCCTTTCATGTCTACCTAAAATCAACTCTACCTCTCTCTTTTCATTCCTTTTATATAATTACCTTTTCTAGTGAATCTTATGCATTATTCACACTAACTGTTCTCTAATGGATTTTCATGCTTTATTTTTGTTTTGTGCCTTTGTTCATACTCTATGTCTTGATTTTGTTTTACAGAGTGATCACAAATTCACATTTTACTGTGGTTGGAATGAAAGTTCTCCTTTCATTATGATCATTAGGAATTTTCAATGACAAAATATGTTTGTTCTACAAATATATTAGGGTTTTATACTTTTTAAAAATACCACAATAGGACATGAGGTCTTTTTGATATTTTTATATGTTGTTGTATTCAAAACAAAGGGTTATTACTTAAACCAATATATGATTTTTTTCCCACAACCAAAACTATACAGCTGTCATTTTCTTCTGTGTTAAAACATATCCATACACATTTCTGCCCTCTGACCTCCCACCAGGTTGCAGAGATAACAGAGGAGTTAGCTACCCTGCCTAAAAGAGCTCAACTGGCTGCTGCATTTATTACATATCTTTCTGCTGCTCCTGAGTGTCTGAGAAAAAGCTGTTTGGAAGAATGGACCAAGTCAGCTGGTCTTGAAAGTTTGTATTTAGTTATTCATTAATTTGAAATTTCAGTATAGACTAAAAATGCACCTTTTGACCTTTGTTATTTTACTTTTTTTAAATGAGGAATATTTTCTGTGAGTTACAAGCATAACATAGCTCCTTTAGATTTGCTGAATTCCACAAGTGTTCTGGGAATTGTTTTTTTATTATGATTCTTCTATTCCTAAATAACTGCAAAAAACTGAGACCACGGAATTATTTTTGATATTGTATGAATGCAGTTAAACATTATATAGCTTTTATTTTTATAGTAATTTTATGTCATAAGATGTAGGAACTTACATTTCTTGTGATCTTAGTCGTTTTCACAAAATTATTGTTGTAAAACTTTCAATTATGATTTAACTGAGTTCCATTTCTTTGTACTTTTTTTAAAAGCTTTTTTCCCCTTGGTTTTGGGTACTCAATGTGGATGAATGGATTTCAAATTAAGGATTAGCATAGGACTTTTCTTCCAGGCTATTTTAAGTAGTTTTATACCCTTCCCTTCTTCAAATGCAAGATCATTGTAATGAAGTATTATCAATATCTTTAACTTCTCAGAATTTGATCTGAGGCGATTTCTTTGTACTGAAAGTGAACAGTTAATTTGGAAAAGTGAAGGCCTACCATCAGATGACCTTTCCATAGAAAATGCTCTTGTTATATTACAGGTAATTAATTTATTTTAATTTTCTCATTATAAATGTTTCTTTTTAGGCTTGCTGCAGGAATTGCTTTCTTCAGATTCCTAGGCTTTCACAGTTATCTTTTTTTGAGTTACATAAAAGTGAAAATGTTTTGCTAATGAAAATTCATGATTCAGTTAGTGAATCTAAAATTTTTGGTATAATTTATTTTTACCTTAATATAAAAGTATAAACTAAAATGGCATTATTTTGTTGGCAAGGTATTCTAAATTGAGCTTCCTAATAGTAATAGAAATGTTTTAGGGATACCTGATTCATTTGGTTATATAATTCCTTCATAGAGTATATGACTTCATAAAATTTATATTTTCATTTTATTTTCTTTTGCCAAACAAAATTATACAAAGTGAAGATAAGTTTAGGTTATAAGTTAGAGATGAGCATATGCATATTTTGGAAAATTATTCTTTCACATAGTGTATGTTATCCAAAAGTCATTATTTGAAGTTGAAATATCACAACCTTATTGGCAGCGAATGTGAAAATCAAATTTAAGGCCATGTACATAAATCATTACTTTGAATAACATTTGAATTTTACCATTAACTTGGTTTACTCTGATATAGAAATTGGAAGATAAATTTTCCCCCTTGATAATGTGAATTTTTTTTTGTTGTTCATTGTCTCAATAGCTTATACTTCACAATATTAGTATTCTCTTTCCTCTCTGAACCCTTTTCCTTGTCCGTACACCATTTCTTTATTCTATAACTTGATAGTCTCAAAGAAAGCATGAACATTAAATGTACCTCTTTAGGTAGCATAAACCATATTATAAAATTCATATTTTTGGTCTGGTTCAGTCATGGATAATTTGTTTTGTTTTATTAGACCCATTGACTATCTGACCATAGTCTGGTTCATTACATTGGTGTCTTACCAGTAGAGAGTTGCTAACTACAAATTAGTTTTTCCTTCTTTTAATTTGATTTGGCCTGTTTTTAAATTTTTTAAAAAGTTTTTTATCATTTTCACACTGGAATTATAAATCTGGAACTCTAAGTGTGTATATAAATAAATTCATTGCATGACAGCAAGCTATATGCTTTTTATCATATTTGCTGTTCCTTCCCCAATGTTTCATAATCACTTCTTCCTGTTTCAGTGATCCAAGAAAGCAATTCCTTGCATATTTAAAAAAAAAAAAAAACTAGTTTAAGAATTCTTTTTTCATTCCATAAGAAACCAGGGAGGTAAGCATTTAGAAAAATACATTTATCTGAATAATTTTTATTTTTTGCTGATATTGGTTTAAAATGCATAATTTTGTTTTATGAATTCTTTCATAAAGAATATGGGGAAATTTCTTTTGCAATTAAATTTCATAATAAGCTTAGATTTACTTTCTATTTAATATTACCAATTTCCTTTTAGATACTTATGTCTACTTATAAGACAAAACAAAAACCATTTCAAGAAATTTGTTAGGGCAATTTGTTTTGTTGAAATGAATTTGCCATTATGGTCAACACTCTATCTCAGTTCTAAGGTAGGCTAGATTTAAAAGAAGTTCTTGTAGTTAAGGGTGTGATTAGATAGCACGTGTCTATAATATCTCCTCATAACATCACCATGTGATATATGTGAAATTAATCTCTAAACATATACAAGTTGGGCTTCTGGGAAATCTTCTATGAGAAAAGATGGCTAGGCATGAAAAATAAGATGTATTTTTGATTCAGGAGTATATTAGATCTCCTCATTAACTATACTAAAGCTTTTCTGATATTCTCCCTCTCAACAGAAGAGGCTTTCCCAGATTCAAGTCCTGTAGTCATGCTAAGAAAAGCCTTTTATGTCCAAAATTATTATTCTTTTGTTGATCTCACAAAGATGCTTGAAACTCTCATATTTAGGTTAAGCTAACTATTGAAGTACATGTATTGTCTGGGAGAGTAAATAGTCAAATCCTTAGGTAGCCTTGGCCTTGTAACACTAGTTAGTTTTATCACATTAGCAGAAAGCTCATATGACTTATGTCTCTGAGGGGCAGGGGAAAATGTGGCCATGGTAATCATATGTCCTGGATTGCTTGGCTATGGTTTACCCCTGTTGTCCTGATGTAATTATTTGTATTTTTCTTTCACTTTGATAAGCTTGGTTTGGGCAGTAAATTATATGATCTTTTAAATGTTGGCCAACTCGTATATAATGGAGATTATAAGGCTGTTAGAAACTATGGAGACGGTGTGAGAAGCATCCAGAAAGGAGATGGAAAAGATGATTAATTTTAATTTCATACTTTATATACATTTTCTTGTGAAGATATCAATTGGATATTTGTGTTTTATTGTTTATGGATAGTTCACTGTCAGTTGGTTTTCTTTTAACCACTCAAACTTTCTGAGATTTTGTTTTCCTTTTTGCTGTTTGGTACATGCTGAGGATATGCAAACTAATTTGATACTAGACTAACAATATAAAGTTATAAAGGTAAATCACAAAGAGAAAAATTCTTCAATTCTCAAATAATGATGAGCAAGCTTATGTAGTACTTACTATGTTGTGCATATATTACTGTTTAAGAATTAAATAGGTAAAGTACTTAAACACTTGTCTCATGTAATTTCCAGATCAATGTAGTAGGTACATGTATTATCCTTTTTATAGATAAGGAGATTGAGGCACAGAAGAGTTAAATCACTTGGCCAAGGTTCACATAGCTGTCAAGTGGTACAATCAGTCTCTACACCAGTTTAGCCCCAGGTTATGTTCTAAAACTGCTTCTCATAGGAGTGTGTGTATATGTGTCTGTGTGTGTGTTTGCATTTGTGTTTGTGTTTAATCTTACTTGTTTTGCATTATTCATGTTAAGGTAACTCTCCTTAGCTAATCAAGAGATAGACTTTAGTTTTATTCATAAAATATTTTTGCTCTTATCTCATTTCTTAAGTATTAAAAATAGAAGTACAATTATAGACTATCTTACATAATTTAAAAATCATATCTTTCAAAAATATTCCCTACACAATCTCCCTTTCCCAGATAAGAAAAGTTTAAATCAGTGGTTATAACTCTAGTTATTGACCTCTCTTCTGAACTCCTGACCTATATAAATAATTCCAACTACCTGTTAAATATATTTATCTGGAGCTTCCTGGACAGCTCAGGCTTTATCTGCCTTTAACTAATTCACTGTTGTCTATTTTTTTTTTTTTTTTTTTGCCCAGGCTAGAGTGAGTGCCGTGGCGTCAGCCTGGCTCACAGCAACCTCAATCTCCGGGGCTCAGCGATCCTACTGCCTCAGCCTCCCGAGTAGCTGGGACTACAGGCATGCGCCACCATGCCCGGCTAATTTTTTGTATATATATTTTTAGTTGGTCAATTAATTTATTTCTATTTTTGGTAGAGACGGGGTCTCGCTCAGGCTGGTTTCGAACTCCTGACCTTGAGCAATCCGCCCGCCTCCGCCTCCCAAAGTGCTAGGATTACAGGCGTGAGCCACCGCGCCCGGCCTGTTGTCTATTTTTTTAAGTTGAGAATCTTTCAGTGGCCAATTACAGCACATTTAAGCAAAAAATTAAAAAATTATGCTTTTAAATAACTGAGATGTCCAAATGATTGGGGCAAGCTTCAGAATTCAAGAGATGTTACTACAACATCTCTCTCTTCATCTTAACAGATGGATTCATCCTCAGATAGGTTCTCTTTACCCTTTCTTAACAATGGCCATTGGTGACTGCATGTTTACCATTATTAGAGTTTTTGTTTTCCGACTAAAGATGTGTCACTCCCTCCCTCTGCACTACACCATATGTGCCAGTCTCTCAAAAGTATTCTGATTGTTTAGCTTGGGTTACCTGCTCATATTGATAACCCCATCAGAAATACATTGAGGGAGCATGCAGGATATGCAAAGTAGCTCTCCACTGTAAAACTTTTCTCTTTCTCTCCCACTCCTAATAACCTCCTTCTCTTTTATTTTCTACCACTGGAGATATCACAGTCTTGGCCCAGTAGTGCAAGCTACAAATCTGAGAGTCATTCTCACTATGTCTCTTTAATTTGTAATTGAGTTAATTGTTCAACCAGTCTTATCAAATCTACTTCTCAGTTGTCTCATGAATTTGTCCTGTTTTAACCACATCCACCGCCAGTGGCTTTGTTTATGCCTTCCTCGTTTTGTACCTGTATAAATACTGATATCTGCTGGGCCTTTGCCCCTAGTATCACTTCTTTTACTACTGTTGAAGTGATCTTTCTAAAATATTAATATGATGATAATATTGCCTCAATTAATAGATTTTAGTGACTTCCCAGTACCTGCAGTATTAAGATTTCAGTATCCTTAGACATGGCATAAGAAGCTGTTCATAATCAGACAGATTCAAGATTATTACTGCCATTTTATATGTATTTTTGCCCTCACTATTTTTACTCCAGCCATATCAGAGTACTGGAAATTTCCCAAATACTCCAAAATTTTTTATTGGCTTCTATATTATACTATTGTTTTTTCCTGAAATAATTTTTTTCACTTCTTTAGCTAATCTCTCTTGGCATAGTTTGACTTAAATTGTTTTCTAGAAGCTTACCCTAACTCTACTTGCCATCCTTGTGTAGTATCTTGTACACTTCTTGATGATGAAATTTTCATTTTTGCTTCTTTATAGGATGTGAAGTGTTGAGGGTAAGGGTATATATCTTATTAATTCTGTACCCCTTGTACTATCCTACTGTAGTTGTTATGTAACAGATGAATAAATAAATGAATGGAAGTTTAACATTTTTAGATCTATTATAATTTGTTAAATGTGGAATTTAACTGCATTTATTAATGGAACACAGAGATAAAATATATGTTGGAAATTTTTGTCTAAATCTCTCTGGAGAAATATAAATAAGATGAAAAGAAACTTGTAAGTACCCTTTGAAATTCTTAAGCATATTTTCTTTGTTAAAAACATGATGTTTTGAAACATTACTTTTTTTTTTTTGACTGCTTCAGATCATTGGTTTGAAATCATGGGTAAGAACTTTTTAAAAATTTAAAATAATTTATATTTTAAACTTTAATTTTGACAATTTAAAATAAATCTAGTAGGATTGTGAAACGTTTGTTATTGAATATTTGCATAAAATTAGATCTAAAAACTAGGTACAGCACCATGGTAACACCTGAGAGGCTATTTACTCACCATGTCATTTTGCTTAGAATAGTACATTTATATGAAGAACATGTAAGTGAAACCTCTAGAAATAGATGCTGGGTGAAGATCATGTAATGTAATATGGGAGAAGGTGTGCTGGGAGTAGTCTATTCTGGGTATAAGTGAAATAGAGTACCTGGTCTGTAGAGAATTTTAAAATAATAATAAAGCTGTCTTAAGTCAAATCATCTCTTTATTATTACCATGTTCTAGCAATTCTAAACAACTTTGGTGATAAAAAGCTATTTGTCTACAGGACAGATAGTCCTTACCATCTCCCTCCCTCTTGGTATGCCACTGACTAAGATAACATATTTTCTTATTAGATATACAGTGTTCCCCCATGCTACACACACCCACTTATCCATGGGGAATATGTTGCAAGAGTCCCAGCAGATACCTGAAACCTGGGATAGTACCAAACCCTACATATGCTATTTTTTCCTATACATACATCCCAATGATAAAGTTTAATTTATAAATTAGTCTCAGTAAGAGATTAACAATAACTAATAATAAAATAAAACAATTATAACAATATACTATAATAAATGTCATGTGAACGTGGTCTCTATTTCTCAAAATATCTTATTGTACTGTATCACCTATTTTTGGACTATGATTTACCACAAGTAACTGAAACTATGGAAAGAGAAACTGTGGATAAAGGGGAGACTACCATATCCCAATTCTATTTTCATTTTACTCTTTCATATATACCCTCTTATCCCTGTAGCAAACAATTGCATTACATTTTTCAAGTAAATGTGAAAACTTAAGCAAAATTAGGTCAGTTATTTAAATCTGATTTACTAGGTAGCAATGATTATTAGATGACTTTTAAATTTATCATATGTACGACATATATTTTATACATATATAACTAATCATTGTTTACTTACTAACTGCCACTGTGTGTGTAGGGCATTTTCACTAGTTTCTAACGTCCTATTTGTTTTACAATTTGATTAGTGTGACATTCCAGAATTAATTTAGTCTCTAGTTCATTAGATCTTAACCTACAACCTATGTAATTCTTCTACGATACTTAGGTATTTACTACTTTGGAAGAGTTAATGTCTTAAAATGTAAACAATTATACTAATAATTATTTTAGCAGTATGTTTAAGATTAGCTCATACTTCTTTTTTAAGGCCTTTATGGTTTATTCAACCAAAAATATATCAAGTTAGGAAATAACTTGACTGTGTATTGAAAAAACCAAAAAGAGTGGTGCATGTGGCATCAGCATGGGACTAGAGCGCTTCCTTAGCATATTGTTAATACACATTTTGTGTGTTATTGTGTGGTAAATAGAACTATACTTAATTTACTGTGGCTAAATTTAATATTTCTGATTTTTGGTCACTGAATTTATTAATGTGGTTTTTGGTGCAGCTAAAAACTGAACCGTTCTTTCCTTTTTATAGTTGCATATTTGTATTCTCCAAAGCCTGAGAGAAAAGCTCATTTAGTAATTGATTCATAATATTTAGCAAATTATTTCCATGAAAACTTTTAATCATTTTAAAAACATTACTTTTCTTTTCTTTTTAAAACTAGAGTCGAGTATGCCCATTTCTTATAGACCCTTCTTCCCAAGCTACAGAATGGTTAAAAACACATTTGAAAGACTCACGTTTGGAAGTTATTAATCAGCAGGTATGTATTACTAATAATTTAGATACAGTGTTATAGTGAAAAGAACTTTGAGTCTGTAATCAGAAAACATAGATTCAAGACTGAGCCTTATAACTTACCCGGTGTGGGACCTGGAGAAAGAAATGTAACTCTCTTAGGTTAAACTTTCTAATTTGTAAAAAGGAGATTAAGAAAAAAAAAACAAAACATATGATCATCTCAATAGATCCAGAAAAAGCCTTTGGTAAAATTCAGCATCCCTTCATGATAAAAACCCTCAACAAACTATGTATAGATGGAACATACTTCAAAATAATAAAAGCTGTATACAACAAACTCACAGCCGATATTATATTGAATGGGGAAAAATTGAAAGCAATCCCCCTAAGAACTGGAACAAGACAAGGATGTCCACTTTCACCACTCCTATTCAACACGGTACTAGAAGTTGTAGCCAGAGCATTCAGGCAAGATAAAGGTATAAAAGATAACCAAATTGGAAAAGAGGAAGTCAAATTATCTGTTTGCTGACAACATGATTTTATACCTTGAAACACTAACGAGTCCACCAAAAAACTCTAAGATTTGATAAATGAATTCAGTAAAGTTTCAGCTCACAAATTCAATGTACAAAAATTAGTAACATTTCTATACAGCAGTAACAGTCAAGCTGAGAAGCAAATCAAAACGGAAATACCATTTCCAATAGCAACAAAAAAACCCCAAAGACCTAGGAATATATTTAATTGAGGAGGTGGAAGATTTCTACAAAGACAATTACAAAACATTGATGAAAGAAATTGTAGATGACATAAACAAAGGGAAAAAGATCCCATGCTCATGGATCAGAATTAACATTGTTAAAATGACTATACTGTGTAAAGCAATCTACAAATTCAGTGCAATCCCATCAAAATATCAATGCCCTTTTTCACAGAATTAGAACAAACAATCCTAAAATTCATACAGAACCAAAAAAAGAGCAATCTTAAGCAAAAAGAACAAAGTTTCACATTACCTGTCCTCAAATTATCCTACAAAGCTATCCTAACCAAAACAACATAGTATTGCTATAAAAGTAGACACATAGATCAATGGAACAGAATAGAGAACCCAGAACATATCTATTGCTAATTGATCTTTGACAAAGTCAACAAAAACATATACTGGGGAAAGCACACCCTTTGCAATAAATGGTGTTGGGAAAATTGGATTGCTATATGAAGAATGAAAATGGGACCCCCATCTCTCACCATATACAAAAATCAACTCAAGATGGATCAAATATTTAACTATAAAACCTGAAATTATAAAAAAACAAACAAACCTGAAATTATAAAAATGCTAGACGAAAACCTAGGGATAACCTTTGTGGACATTGTTTTAGGAAAAATTCATGACTAAGACCTCAAAAGCATAAGCAACAAAAACAAAAATAGACAAATGGGACTTAATTAAATTGAAAATCTTCTACACAACAAGAAAAAAGAAAAATCAGAGTGAACAGACAATCTGCAGAATGGGAAAAAAATATTTATAAACTATGTATCTCGCAGGGGAGTGATATTCAGAATTTATAAGGAACTCAAACAGCTCAACAACAACAAAAAAACAAGTAACCTCAAAAAGTGGTCAAAGGACATTTTTAAAAGAAGACATAAATTGCCAACAAGCATATGAAAAAATGTTCATCATCACTAATCAGGGAAATGCAAGTTAAAGCTACCTTGAGATATCATCTTTCACCAGTCAGAATGGCTATTACTTATTTATTTTTGAGACAGAGTCTCACTATTGTAGCCCAGGTTAGAGTACAGCAGTGTGATCATAGTTCACTGTAACTTCGAACCCCTAGGCTCAAGCAGTTCTCCTGAATCAGCTTCCTAAGTAGCTGAGACTACAGGCATGCACCACCACACCCAGCTAGATTTTATTTTAATTTTTGTTTTGTAGAGATGGGGTCTTGCTATGTTGTTCAGACAGATCTTGAACTCCTGGCCTCAATCAGTCCTCCTGCCTCAGCCTCTCAAAGTGCTGGGATTACAGGCATGAGCCACCATGCCTGGCCAGAATAGCTATAATTAAAAAGTCAAAAAATAACAAATGTTCATGAGGGTGCAGAGAACATACACTCATACACTCATGGTGGGAATGTATAGTAGTACAACTTCTATGAAAAATAGTATGGAGATTCCATCTATTGGGTGTATACCCAAAGGAAAAGAAGTCATTATATCAAAAAGATACCTGGGCTCATATGTTTTTTGGAATACTAATAACAATAGCAAAGATAGGGAATCAACCTGAGTGCCCATCAACAGATGATTGGATAAAGAAAATGTGGTATATATACATAATGGAATATTATTTAACCATAAAAAAGAATGAAATTATGTCTTCAGCAACACTGGATGGAATTGAAAGCCATTATCTTAAGTGAAACAACTCAGAAACAAATACAGCATATTCTCACTTAGAATTAGGAGCATAAAATGTTCACACATTGACACAGAGTGTAGAATAATAGCTATTGGAGACTCGGAAGGGAGACAGGGTGGGAGGGGGTTCAGAGATGAGAAATTACTTAATGGGTACAATGTTCACTGTTCAGGTGTGGTTATACCAAAAGACTAGAATTTGCCACTGCACAATATATTTGTGTAACAAAACTTCACTTGTGCCCCTTAAATTTAGAAAAAATAATTAGAAAAAGAATATTTGGTGCTAGGTATTGATATAAGCACTGGGAATTTCACAGTGAGTTAAGTAGTCACAATTCCTTCCTTAATGTCAAGGACAGCCCAGTAGGTTAGAGAGACAAAAAAGTTTTACACTAAATTATAATTAAGAACATAAATATAGGATTCTGTAGAAGTAAGTATTGCTGACTTAGCTTGGAATATCAGAAAAGCCTTCTGGCCTTTTAACATATTTACAGTTCCTCTCAATGCCTTCCATAATTTCTTATTCCTGTAACTCACTCACAAGCATCTTCATCCCAAGATTTGTCAGTGAAATGTAATCAGAGTCTTTAAGGTAGTGACTTCTCACTGTCATGCTTATTTTGCAGAGGAAATTATTTTGGGTCAGATTTGTGGTTTTTTTTTTTTAAGAAGGCTTAGCATATGAATAACTTTCATAGCTATTCTTCAGTTTTTTGTAAAATAACCTCTAAAACTTTACTTGTAAAATGAAGGTTTCTACTTCATTTGTTTTTGGTAAGAATAATTGTAAATTATATAACATGTAAATACTTTAATCTCATTTATGTCTTACAGTATGAGATGTTAATAATTATCACTTAAATATTATATTTTTTTAACTTTCTCAGAGGCCTGGGATGATATTTAAAACTACTCCTTCCCTAGTCAGAAGGCCTCAAAATTCTTCACTAATTCTAGAATTTTGTCTATAGGTTCTGTTCACAAGGGTTAGACTTAATCACACCAAGAAAAGTTTACTATTAGTAGAATTTATCCTGTTGCCTCCCCCCCCCCCAATTCAATGTGTGATTCTGAACATAGGCAAGGTAGTTTTTATTGATACCTGGATGAGTAACTTATTGTATATGGAATTTCAAGTTTTGTTTCTGTAACAATTTGAAATTATTGTAGAAAATTGAAGAAAGGCTTTTGTATTGTGGGAGAAATATGAATTTGCTATCGATTTGGTATAGAGTTCTAGTCGTGCAAGATGGAAAAGTTCTAGAGATCTTCTTTGTACAACACTGTGCTTATGGTAAACAATACTCTAGTATACACATAAAAATTGGTGAACAGGGTAGATTTCATATATCATGGATTTCTTTTTTACCACAATTGAAAAAATGGTAAAATGCTTATTTTCTTACATGTCTGTATAAATTATGAAGTTTTTAAGATAATTTATTCAACTAAAATAATTCATCACCAAGTACTTATAAGTAGAAAAACAATCGGGAATAATTTGAATTATTAACATTCATACTAAGTTTTTAAATATTTTATTCCTTTTAATGTCTTCACTCATTATTTATAAAGACCTTTGTAAATAGTGAGATAATAACGGAATTAATATGAATTCTTTTTTATTCTCTTAGGATAGTAACTTTATCACAGCTCTTGAGTTGGCAGTACGTTTTGGGAAAACTCTTATTATACAAGAGATGGATGGTGTAGAACCTGTTCTTTATCCATTACTAAGACGAGATCTGGTTGCACAAGGTAAATATTTGACACTTTCCAGAAAGAAACTTATGTAAATTTTCTGAAAACGGGTACATGCTTCCAAGAGTTCTCTTCTAGTAAAATCACACATGACATGCTTAAATCCACCAGCAACAAGGTGTGACATGTGCAAATGTTGTCTACGAGGGAAGCTTATTTATTAGAGACCCATAACTCAGAGTTTTTGTGGGGGCTGATTATATCAGCACTCTCTCCCTAGCATATAGCAAAATTTTAGACTCCCCAAAGGAACACAGGTGTTCAGTACAAACGAAATCGTTTGTACAAACAGTTTAGGCACAGTGAGCTACTTTTATCTGTTTTGAGAATGGTGGAAACTCTCCCAAAATCCCAGTTTCTAGGCGCTGATTATAGGCCAACTATGCAAGCAGGCCTTTCTAGGGATAGCAGTCTCAGGATTGCTATGTTAACTCTTTTCTGCACAGGCACTCAACCCAGTCTTCAACAATTAGAAAGTGATACCCAGAAACTTTTAAGTGCGTGCCATGCAAAGTGTATGTAGGTACATACATAGACACACACATATGCATATACATACATGTGCATGCTTATATCCCACACATTGCTAGCACTGCAAAGTTTATAAAGAAAATTGGGATTTAGGGAGCAAAACAGACAAATAGCAAAACATGCACTATTCGTTGATCATTTATTATCCCATGAATACAATCGCTTGTATTAATTTCAAAGCTGTCTCTTGCAGGAGCTGCCATTCAAACTTAGCCACGTATTTTTTTGACCAGATAAAGGGACTATAGTATAATTTCCAGGTCCATATATGCTGTTTCATATAGGCCAAGAGGATATTAAGATGTTGGTTCTATTTCTTTCTATTTAGTAGCTATAAAGCCAGCAGTTTATTCATAATAGGCTGTAGAACATCTCCTTAGGTAATATCCATTTGGTCATTTGGGTGTCAGGGTTAGGATTGTCTTTATTTAAGTCCCTTTCATCTTAAGTTAGTTGTGCCTGAATGGTGTGTAATACAATGTGAATAGTTTCTCAGTGAAGACCATTACCAAAATGTAATCTATATAATGGAATGGAATTTGGACCTATATGGCAGTTCTCATAGCACTTGAGGTTATCTAACTCATTTAATAATATATTTCTGAAGAGTTTGGATCTGTAAAGGTGTACTGCATACAAAAGATGAAGTGATTTTGGTCTTATTCTCAAGGGAATATGAAGAAGAAATCATTAGTAATATCCTAGTCTGCATGACAAGTTTCAGTTATCAAAACAATTTTTATGTCAGGCCCTGTGGAAGCAAAAGTGGCTACTGCCTGGTTTAAGTTTCAGTGGTCATAGTGAATGTTCAAGCAGCATTGGTTTCCAAACTCCAGACAGATAAAATTATATGGCTGTCCTGCATGGTGTAAAAATACAGATTATTTTTCACTTCCTGGCATGATGCATTTCTTTTAACTGTAAATTTTTACAGGATTTGGGTATACCTTATAGGTTGATCCTGTCTGAGTCTCTGTCTAATTGTTATAGAAGTCACCAAAGGTGTCATAGTGAATGTATCCAATTAATATATCCATACATCCAAGCACCCCAAATTTCCTTATACATGTTGACCGATAGAACAAAACAAAATATCCAAGGCTGATCCAGATTCAGAAAATCAGATAATAGCCATGTAAATTAGGACTTCCCCTAGAAAGGGAGTAGGAGACCATATCTTATACTTGTGCCTCGTCATTCTGTCTTCATAGTTCTCTAAAGTACAGTACAGATTTTGTGTTCAGAAGAAAAAAGTCATAACTGCATTGCAAGTTAACTCCAGTGTAAATAAAGATTTCATAGAGTTAAGACTGTGTTGGACTGTATGATTCTACATTTGATATTTTATATGATTAGGATATGGCACTTATACTCAAGGGTCTTTTGTAGACAACAAAACAATAATTTTTGAATATTTTAAAAAAGGTTATATCAAAATAATACATGCATGGGTTACAAAATCAAATAATATAGAATAGCTGCAGCATTCTATTCCTCCCCTACCCAGGACTATTCCTACTCACCAGAGAAAACCATTTATTTTTCAATTTTAACTTTTTCTTGAAATACTAATATAGAAGAGAATATATGCAAATGTATAGCTCATGAATTTTTACAAATTGAATATACCTGTATAAGCACCTGGAGCAAGACATGAAACTTTATTAGCAATCCAGAAACCTAATTCGCCCCCCTTCCCCCAAGGATAACCACATTCCTGACTTATAACAGCATAGATAAGTTTTGCTTATTTGTGTATCTTGTGTAAATGAGAAAGAAAAAAAGCAACACCTGACTACTGTTGGCTAGGAGCTGTCCTGGCTCTAACAACTGGGCCACAGTGTATTTCTTTTGAGTATAAATCATTTCACAGAATACCAACATCAGGCAGGCAATTCTGTAACCATAACCATGTTTGGGCACAAAGATAAGAACACTTTCCATACCATAAAAATAACCAAACATTCTCTTCTCCCAGCTAATATTGAATGACTTCTGCTGTTTTCCAAATTATAGCTTAGTCCAGAGGTGGGGACCCTGTTCATGTTGGAGGGCCATATTAATTCAGCTGTAATCAAATAAGGCTACATTCAAGACATTTCAATTAGATATACTTAAAAATGTATATTACTTTATAAAAATATAACTACTCTGTATTTAATAATTTCAGAAAATGAAAACTATTTCTGAATTTTAAAGTTAACTAACCTTTTAATGTCTTTGTTATGTCTACTTTTTGTTGGAAAACATTTGAATATTTGGTTGCAGCACGGAGGTCTGCGGTTTCTGTTGATCTTCTAGATGGGTATCAGTCATTTGTGACCTTAAGGACATCTTGATTTGGGTTAAGTAGGAGAATGTAGATTCACAGCAATAAGTGGTTAAAAAGCAAGAAAACATTTTTTGGGCATGTTGCTGAAGGCAGAATTTTGCATTTTTTCATATTTCAATTGGATCTTTCTTAGCATCAAACAATGATTTTAAACTGTCATCTGCTGAGGGCTCAATCATTTCCATCTCTAGTTCTTTAGGTGCTTTGGTAATTAATATCAGCTAAGTGAGGCTGAAATGCTAATTTGAGTGTGACGTCATGATTCTCAAAGTCAGTGAAACTTTTGTTGTATTCTCCAATTAATAGGTCTGTAACAGCTGCGTATTCTTCAGATGATTCGCATATATCATCCCGCTCATCAATGACCTTTGCTAACTGGGGAAAATGTTCATCTGAAATTTCCTTTTGAGGAAGCATTTTGAAAAAAGATAGCTTTTTTTTTTAAATGCTTGGATTTTTTTGCCCACATATCATTATAGACTTAGTTTTACCTTGCAAGGTAATATTCAAATCATTTCGATTTGACAAGATGTCCACAGAAATCCATTCCTATAGAAATCTTCTTTCAGTAATTCACATTGCTGATTCTGTTCATAAAATTTAACTATCTGTTTCCACAGAGATAAAATTTTGGCTAACACCTGTCCTTGGGATCACCAACACACTTTAGAATGATAAGGCAAATCCACACTGAATACCTCATCCTTCAACTTGAGCACATTACAAAACTGAAGACAGCGTGTTGCATTTGCACGAATATAGTTAACAATACTTAAAACTTGTTACAGAGTGTCACTTAAAATAGCTTTTAACACAGAGATTTTTGCTGATACAAGATACAATGAGAAGAAATGAGGGCATCCAGATCTGTTAATACTTGTTTATTCTGTGCAATAAACCCTTCATGTTTTCCTGTCATGGAAGGTGCACCGTCTGTCACACAATTATTTAAATTTACCAAATTCAGTCTAACTTCACATTTACCTTGAAAGTTGTTGAAGATACCTATTCCCCGTGTTCTGTTCTCAAGAGAGTTCAAAGTGAGTAAATCTTCATAGCAAATAACATCTTCTCTTACTACTTGAATGAAGTATAAAACCTGTGTGAGTCAGTAGTATCCATTGATTCATCCAGAGCGATTGAATAATGTATATTTTTCTTTTGAAGTATTGCATGAAGTGGCTCTTGTAAGTTGAAGGTTAATTCATGCTGTTGATCAGTTGTGGCTCTCCTTGAAAAAGGTAGTTGTTTGTACTTTGAAACATTATCGTGGTCTAAGCATCCTACAACTTCAACAGTGCCTTCTTTCACAATTTCCACATCATTGAATGGGTTCCCTTTTTCCCCTGAGTATATAAGCTACTTTATAAGTTGCTTCAGTAGCATTATTTCCAGGTCTTATTGCTGCTTGAAAGAATTGTCTTTGCTTTTGCTTTTCATCATTTAACTTCTGCAACAAAACCTTTTGCACGTCTCCCTCTAATTTAAACTATTTGTGGTCCTTATAAGTGTTATCACGCTGACAAACATTGAATTTCTTTAATGTTGATATTACAGTGTCACAAAGTAAGCAAATCATCTTATCCTTAGCAGAAACAAGATAATATTGTAATTCCCATCCTCATTAAAAAATCAGTTTTCTTCCTTCAGTGTTCTCTTGGTCTTCTTTGACACGATGGGCTGTTAAGCAGACAGAATGAAAACGTATTGTTGAGCTGTGGAGCTATTCACAAATTCCACTTCAAACAGAAACATAGTACACCGTTGTCAAAAGCTGATAACAGCCTGGCATACTCAACGCCCATAAATTCCTGCCATGCAGGCTTGTGCAGTAGTGGTGCCAGTCAGCTGGGAAAAGTTAGAACTAAATCATACACGTAGCTGCCAGGAATTTAGCCCTTATGGCTTACTAATGTTCTAATTGTGCTAGTCAGTCTAGGAAGATTGTTTTGTTGAAACTTATTTTATTCTTTGGTATTTTAAATATTTTCATTTAAAAAATAAAAATATAAAAGATGAACAAAGGTGTATTAATAAAAACAAAAGGGTTTGTTCTGGAAAATTTGGATTCAGTCAAAAGGCCATAATTAAGGATTTAGAAGACCACATGTGGATTTAAGGCCACAGGTTCCCCATCTCTGGTTTAGTATCACTCCATTTCTCTCACCTCCTAGATAAAAATTAGATACCAAATCATAGAATTGTCTGCTCTTTCTGATCACACCCCATCCCCAGCAAAACCACACTTTCCTTAAACCATTCCCAGATTACCTAGTGCAAACTCAAATCCTATGACAAGACTCTCTTAATACCTTCTCATTGACACTATGCATGTTTTCCCATGATGTTCTATCTTTTATTGAAAAGGAGCTGGTAAACCTGAGCTGTGACCCTTTAAACATTGGGGTTTGGTTTTGTTTGCATTCTTTTATGTGCGCGCGCATGCGAAAAAGCTTTGTTGTATTTTTTTTTCGGTGTTTGTCCATTTTATCAAAACTATCAAATATATATTTTTATATTCTCACCTTTCTAATGTCTGTTGGGTTTGTAATGATGTTCCCTTTTTCCTGATGTTGATAATGTTTATTCTCCTTTTCCTTGATCAGTCTCTATATGGGTTTATCAATATAACAAATTTTTTTATTTTTTATTTGTTTATTTTTGGGGGGAGAGGGTCTTATTCTGTTACCTGGAGTAGAGTGCAGCAGTGTCATCACAGCTCACTGCAATCTCAAACTCCTGTGCTCAAGAGATCCTCCTGCCTCACCCTCCCAAGTAGCTGGGACTGCAGGCATGTGCCAGCACTCCTGGCTAATTTTTTAAAAATGTTTTGTAGAGACAGGGTCTCATTATGTTGCTTCATTTGTTCTTGAACTCCTGGCATCAAGGGATCCTTTCACCTTGGCCTCCCAAAGTGCTAGGATATAGGCATGAGACACCACACCTGGCCCTACAAGTCTTTTTAAAACACCAATTTTTAATTTTGATTTTCTTTATCATATTTTAAAATTGACCTTTGTTCTTTAATATTTCATTCAGATTATTTTTCTTATGTTTAATTTGGTCTTCTTTTTCTAGAGCCTTGAGGTGGAAAATCAAAATATTGATGTTCATTCTTTCCTTTTTGCTAATATATGCATCTGCCTATAAATTTCCCTCTAAGGCTTTTTTTAGCTTCATACCACAGTTTGTTTCTTTTTTGACTCATAACTTATTTAATATTTTGTTGTTTAATTTTTAGGCATTTGGAGATTCTCTAGTTACCTTTTTGTTATGATATCTAGCTTATGTCCATTGTGGTCAGATAACTTACTCTAGAGTATTTTACTTTTTTGAATTCTGTTGAAGCTTTAGGATCTGACAAATGTTCTGCATAGACTTGAAAATTGTATGAATTTTGCTCTTGCTTGGTTTAATTTTCTCTGCAAGTCAGTTAATAATGTCATTTTTGTTAATTGTGATATTTAAATATTATATACCCTTACTGTGTTATGTTTTTCTATTTGCTCTATCATGTATTGAGATACATATCTTAAAGTCACTATGATTTTGAATGTGTTTTTCTTTTAGTTTTGTAAATTTTTGTTTTAAATATTTTGCAGCCATATTATTGGATGCATATATATTTGGAAATGTGATCTCTTTCTATTCAGATCTTTATCATTATGAAGCATCCTTCTTTATTTCTAGAAATATCTGAAGTTCTAGAGTCTATGTTGGAATGGTTACACTAACTGTTTGGGGTACTGTTTACATTGTATATACTTTTCCATTCTTTTACTTTCAACTTTTCTGTTGGTCTTTATTTAAAAAGATAACTTTTAATATGTATATTTAATATACTCAACATGATTTTATAGGATACATATAGATAGTAAAATGGTCACTAGATTGAAGCAAATTAACTTATCCACCATCTTACATAGTTACTCCCCCTTTTTTGGTAGGAAGGGCCATTAAAATCTTCTCATTTAGCAATAGTCCTAAATACAAGGTAATTTTGTTAACTGTAGTCCTCATGTTGTACATTGGATCTCTGGATTTAATCATTTCACATATCTGCTACTTTCATTCTTCCCCTTCCTCCCTCACTCTCCCACCTGTTCCTGGTATCTGCTATTTTATTCTCTTTGTGTATTTTCTTTTCTTTTTTTTCTTTTTTTTTTTTTTGGAATCTACATGTAAATAAGATAATGCAATAATTTTCTTTCTGTCTGCCTTATTTCACTTAGTATAACATCCTCCAGGGTCAGCCATGTTGTGGCAGAATCTTCTTTTTATTCTGCAAGTGGCAGAATCTTCTTTTTTATGGCTGAATAATATTCCACTGTGCGCACAGATGTGCGTGTGCATACACATGCTCTCACATAATATTTTCTTTATCCATTGCATTGATGGACACTTAGCTTATTTCCATATCTTGGCTATTGTGAATAATGCTACAGTGAATGTGGTTGTGCAAATATCTTTACAAAATGGTGATTTCATTTTCTTTAGTCATATACCCAGAAGAGAGATTGCCAGGGTCTTATAGTAGTTCTATTTTTAATTTCTTTAGGAATCTCCATACTGTTTTCCATAATGGCTGTACATGCCATCTACATTCCCATCAACAGTTCCCCTTTTTTCCACACCTTTGCCAACATTTGTTTTCTTTTGTCTTTTTGATAATATCCTAACAGATGTGAGGTAATATCTCATAGTGGTTTTGATGTGCATTTCCCTGATGATTAGTGATGTTGATCACTTTTTTACATACCTGTTGGCCATTTTTATCTCTCTTTAGAGAAATGTCTATTCAGGTCCTTTACCCATTTTTTAATCAGGTTATTTGTTTTTCTGGTATTGAGTTGTACAACTTCTTTATAAATTTTGGATATTAACCCCTTATGTTATATATAGTTTGCAGGTACTTTTTCCCAGTTTGTAGGTTGCTTTTTCATTTTGTTGATAATGGATATTTTGCAATTACTAATATATTGATATTCCTAGGTTTTTTACTATAATCATCTCTTCAAGTATTACATCTTAAGTACTAGAACAACAAATACTTTTTAACTGATTAATTTAGAAATAAAGAATTATATATAATTGAGGGTTTCTATTTGTTTATAATCAACCATTTCAGAAAAATTTGTAAACATTAACACCATACTGAATATGAGTAGGATATCCCTTTGATCCTTCAGTATCCCTGGATCGTCTTAGTGAATATTATTTATCCTTGTTTGCATAAGTGCTGATTTATAAAGCATTCTGGCTAATACTATCTTGGGTAGCCTAACTTTTGCTGTCTTTGGACTCTATTGAAAAGCCTATATTTATAAGTACTTGAAAATTATGTTTTAAACTATCACATTGCAAAATATAAAAGATTCAAGCCAACTAATTGTTTTTTTTTTAAATAGGACCACGTTATGTGGTACAAATAGGTGACAAGATTATTGACTACAATGAAGAGTTCCGCCTCTTTTTGTCAACAAGAAACCCAAATCCCTTTATTCCACCAGATGCAGCTTCCATAGTTACTGAGGTTAACTTTACAACAACAAGAAGTGGATTACAAGGGCAGGTACACATTAACCATTTTAATTTTCCTTAGAATCTTTTGTAGCTTTGTATACTTACTAGATACTTTGAATGGAAAGCTATTTTTTAAAACTGATTAGTATTTAAATTTAGATTTTGAAAATATACTTACAAGTTAGAGTGAAGCATTCAGGCTTATTTCACTTATGATGTGTGTTAGACTTGCATATTTGCTATTAATGTCAAATTGCTGCTTCTATAATAATATAACTAATTTTACAATTTATTTTTGTCATATATGGTAAAATTTAAGAGATGGATAGATCATAGAAATTAAGATCATCTGCTTAATTTTTTTAATTGTGAAAACTGAAGTTTAATTGTGAAAATTGCAGTTAATTGACCAATTTAGCTAGTTGAGAGTCTTTGATTCCTGTGCCAACATTTTTTTTTTTGTCCCATTAGAACATATGACATGTGCATCCTTGAATTCAATTTATCTGTGTATGGCTCATTACAGTTCAGAATTATTGCATGAATTTCAAAATTATTTTTTATGTCAAGATGTCCAGACTTTTACTTATATATTTCCTCACTCATTTTTTTCCTCTCTAATAATATAATGCCAGTTGACAGATGAGTATCATGCTTTTTTTTTTTTTTTGGGAGACAGTGTCACTTTTTTGCCTGGGCTTTTTGCCTTTGCAGTGGCATCATCATAGTTCACTGCAACCTCAAACTCCTGGGTTGTAGTGATCCTTCTGCCTCAGCATCCCAAATAGCTGAGTCTATAGGTATAGGGCAACATGCCTGGCTAATTTTTGTATTTTTTGTGGAGATGGAGTCTCACTCTTGCTCAGGCTGGGCTCGAATTCATAGCCTCAAGTGATCCTCCTACCTCGGCCTCCCAGAGTGCTAGCATTACAGGTGGGAGCAACCGTGCCCAGCCTTTCTTGCTATTTTTTACTCATCTAACAATAGATTTTTTTCCTTTTTGATTTGTATGATAGCATGTATGTTTCCTGCAGTTTTTATTTGATGGTCATTTTTAACATTGTCCTTTCAAAATAGATTTTTATTATACCATCAAGTATATTTTTATGAATAGTATCTCTTGATTGACTTGATGATTCTTATCTATAAGACAGTGTGACAGTCACTCAAAACTTGTCAGAAATTGACAATATTGCTTCTTGTATCTAAAAGATCTCCACAGTTGTTGCTGAAAGGTGTCTTAAGGTCTTACTTTAGCAAGAACTAAATGAAGATATTTATACAACAGATTTTGAAATATATATTTTATGCTAATGTCATTATCTATTTTTATTTTTAGAGTTAACAATTTGACATAGCATTTTTTAACAGTTGAACAGATAAGAGCTTTAAAAGATACAATTTACATACTGTATAATTTGCTGATTTAAATAAAGTGTACAATTCAGTGGCTTTTTAGTGGAACTGCTGGGTCTTATGGGTCTGCTGGGTCTTTATGGTTAAAAATTGGAGGAACAAAGTGGCTTCATTATTTCACTTCCCCACCAACGATGTAGGAGAGTTCCACTTTTTCCACATCCTTGCCAACTCTTCTTCTTATTTGTCATTTTAAATTGTAGCCATCCTAGTGAATGTGAAATGGTTCATGGTTTTGATGACATAGAATTTTAAGTAAAATATCTTTTTATTTATTAATGGAAATACTTGCCATTAAAAATACTAGCTTCCATGGTTTTGATACATTTAATCTAATTTTAGAACTAAGTATTACATATTAACATGTTAAGTAAGGCACTTTCTTACAGCTATCTCATAATAATTAACATTTTATTGATTAGTTTAACTAGTTATTGTCTCTTTTTCATCAGATATAATTGTGAAAGTACTTCATGTTTAACTATACAGAATGAAATGAGGTAGCATAGTATCATAATACTTGTAATGTTTGGTCAAACACAAGGTCTGTTTGTGGGAGATTTTCTTTTGTTTTAAACCTTATTGGCTAGAATTGTCTTTCTTTTCTTTTTTTTCCTTTAAGCTTTTGGCTTTAACCATTCAGCATGAGAAACCTGATTTAGAGGAACAGAAAACAAAACTATTACAACAGGAAGAAGATAAGAAAATACAGCTAGCCAAGCTGGAGGAATCTCTTTTAGAGGTAAAATTTAGCTAATTGGGCTGTTTTTTCATATTACTTTTTTTCTTTAATGAATATAAATAACAGTGTTTAAAAAAGTTAGTAGCATCTTCAGAATGTTTTTGATTTCTTCAAAGCCACAATAGTATGTATATATCTTACTCATATATTTTAAAGTCTAAATTCAAATAGAAAAAAAAGAAGATATCTTTTGGAGTGTAAAATCTAAAGGAATAATGTTTGAGATAATCAATTTTTAACTAATTATTTATCTATGCTGTATTGCTTTATTATATGCTTATAATTTCAAGAAGCATTAAAAGCATGAAATTATGACTTAATGTGTAATTTTAATAGTTTTATTTTTATTAGATAACATTAATACCTATGCAATACTTGGTTATGATACAGAATCATAGAACAATTCACTGTACCAATAATAAAAACAAAGTAAAATCAAAATTTAAAAAATAGAAGGCTATAAAGTGTTGACATTCTTCTAAAATAATGTAAGCCCCCATAAACATTATCAAATTAATGATTGTTAATATGGGGTTCCTTTAATTGTTTGTTTTAATATGTATAATAATGTTACATTGTTAATTTTTTTCTACAGACGCTTGCCACATCTCAAGGCAACATTTTGGAAAATAAGGATTTGATTGAATCTTTGAATCAGACAAAAGCAAGCAGTGCACTTATTCAAGAGTCACTTAAAGAATCTTACAAACTCCAAATTTCCCTCGATAAAGTAATCACTTCTTTCTTTGTGATTTTATGTCATATTGTCTTAAATATTTGTTAATATGATGGAAGATACAGAATCAAGCCTTCAGGGGAAAGATGATGTCAAAAAGGAAAGCCATTCAAAAACACCAGAGCCATTCTTATTACTATAGAGAGGGAGTTCAGATGTTGGTACATCAAAGATAAGGACTGTTGGTCAGTAAACTCTGCTTGGTTCTACTGATTTCTGGGATAATGTTATCTAAGGTTGAGCTACAATTTTGTACTGAAATTGAAAATGAATATATTGAAAAGATGTTAGAGAACATCTTTGCTGTTCTTGGAACTTGCCTCAAGTTAAGGCAAATTAAATATACGAATTAAAAGGTTATAAGCTGTTTTTAAACTTTTTCCCTCTATTCTTCCTGGACTCCATGAGTGTAATCATCTGAACTATTTTCCTACAAATGGCTTTAAATCCTTTTCGGTTTATTCTTTTGATAGTTCCTTTAGGAAAATTCTAGCCCTACATCAGTGCAATGTATCTTTTCCTCTCCTACATTCTAGTGACTGATCTTTGCTGGAGAAAATTTGACAACCAGGCAAATTAATGTTGCTATGAATTCTCAGGTCTCACCTGACCCAAACCCTCATTGACATTCTTTAATTTCTTTCTATTCCCCTCCGTGATTTTTCCAATTTCTTTTTTTTTTTTAGTACTTTCAGTCCTTCCTCCAACTTTACACTTACCTATTACTACTTTCTTCACTTGGGAAAGAGCTCTGTTGAAATCAGAATAAAAGCAATTTTATAGCCCAGTTTCAATCCAGTTACCCAATTTTCTCTACTTAGGGCTACACTTTACGGATGTTATGATTATCATTTTCTGCCAAGAGGACTTTAAACTTTCTGTGCTTTCTTTTTGTTAACTGACATTGCTGAGTCACATACATATTTTTACTGGTATCATATTTGTAATCCTAGTGCTTTGATCATAGTTACATGGACAACCTTTTTGGAGTTCTCTTCAGAACTTAAGGCCATTTAATCCTATGAACCTCTTATTTCTATTATCCTTTACCTTCCTTCAGAATGAAAGCTCCTAGAGTTATTGGCTCTTTTCATGCTTACAGTGAACAGTTCTAGGTGCTTTATTATCCTAATGTGAACAATTGTTACAGTCATTTTCTCTGCCCCTGGTTCTATCAGTGTTCTTCTTGGCACCAATCTTACCCATAACCTTAACAAATTAACCTTAACAAATATTGTTAAGGTTACATATATTCCCCCCCCCCCCCAAGTCAGAGCTGCTGGCATGTCCATCCTCCAGGTGGTGTCATAATTTGAACTTTTCTCTACTTTAGGTATAGGCTAGTCCCGTGCCATGCCTTCTTGCATTACCTGAACTGATTCTCTTTTGAAATGTAAAATTGATTCTATTCTCTGGTCATAACTGTTTACCATTCCATTTTTCCCCCTTCTCCTAATACAAGTGCTCTTGGTCCTAAAAGCCCAATCCATGAACTGCTTCTAGCTTTGTCATCTGAGAGGTAGAAATGTATTTAAAATGTATTGCTGTGGTCTGAATGTTTATGTTCCTTCAGATTCATATGTTGAACCCTAATCCCCAGTATGATGCTATAAATAGGTGAGGCTTTGGCCATGTGATTAAGTCATGAGAGTGAAGCCCTTATGAATGGGATTAGTGCCCTTATAAAAGTGGGCCAAGGGAACTTGTTTGCTCCTTCCAGCATATGAGGACACAGCAAAAAGCAACTGTTTTTATGAACCAGGAAATGGGCCCTCACTAGTCACCAAATCTGCTGGCACCTTGATTTTGGACTTCTTAGCTTCCAGAACAGGGAGAAGTAAATTTTTGTTTTTTATTGTTTCTATTGTGTTGTTTATAAGCAAAACCAATTTAGTGTATTTTGTTATAGCAGCCTGAACAGACTAAGACATATATTGTCCCCAGCTTCATAAAAATAAGGAAGAAACTGGGCGTGTTGGTGTGCACCTATAGTCTTAGCTACTTGGGAGGCTGAGGTGGGAGGACTGCTTGAGCCCAGGAGTTTGAGGCTTCTGTGAGCTATGATTGTGCCAGTGTACTCCAGCCTGGGTGATAGAGCAAGACCCCGTCTCAAAAAAACAAAAAAGAAAGAAAAACCAAATCTTGCTATTCCTTTTAGTTACAAAAGTCTAAAATTCATCATCTTCATTTGTTTTATGTGTATGGAAAAGTAAGGCTGTGGCTAGATATGTACATAGTAATCTGTAGGTGGCAGTAAAGCACTAGAACTAAAATGTCCTCCTCCCCCATCTGTTGATCCATAGGAACGGGATGCCTATCTCCCTCTAGCTGAGAATGCCAGCAAGATGTACTTCATTATCTCTGACTTGTCCAAAATTAATAACATGTACCGTTTTAGTTTGGCTGCATTTCTCCGACTTTTCCAACGAGCTCTACAAAACAAACAGGTAAGCTGTTGGTTACCCTGTAGCTGAGGCTGAATCAGGTCACTTTACTAGGTATGGTACTTACTAATAATTTCCTGAGAAAACTTACATAGAATTATGTTTCAAAAGACTGCATATAACACTTGTAAATTACATTTAAAAGAAACCAATTTCTTAATTTCATTTTATATTCCTAATGAAAGTGATTTATATTCTGAGTATAAATTAATAGGTAATATATAATCATTAAAAATACTTGATTCTAAAAGGTATAAGAATAAGAAATCATATACATAATCCTATTACCTGGGGAAATGACATTTAACATTTCATTATATATTTTTTGTTGTTTGAGGCTGTAATATTCTAATCATTGGAGATACAGCAGTCTACACTGCCTTATCAAGCTTATATTCTAATGGAGGAAAGGATATATTAAAGGATAACATTGTTTTAACCAAAAGATATCATACTGTGCTTTAAAAATGTATCAGTATATTACAGACAACTTTCACATCAATGAATATAAATCCACACAATATTTTAAAGACATGATGAGTCTATACCATCCTTTATTTAACCACCTCCTATATGGACATCATTCTGCTTATCTCTGCTGGATATCATATTACCTTCAAACTTGACAGATTAAAACCATTTTCTTATGCTTACGGATTCTTTGGGAAATTTGCTCGTTACACAGCAGGGATAGCTTGTATTTATTTCATAATTTCTGGGACCTCAGCTGGGAAGAATTGAGAGTTGGAGGTTGGGGTTAGGTGTCTGTCCAGGATGGAAGGACTTGATAATAGGACTGTCAACTGTAGCACCTCTCAACACAGAGAGACGGACTTCTTGTATAGCTCAGGGCACCAAGTGTGTATTCCAGTGAATAAAGCCCAGACTGAATCGCCTTTTATAACCTAGCCTTAGGTCGGTGTCATTTCTGCTGTATTCTATTGGCTGAAGAAGTCACAAGCCTGCTCAGATTCAAGGGTAATGGCAAATAGATGTCACTGCTTGATGAAAGAAATGTCAAAGAATTTGGGGGATATGTTTTTAAACATCTACAGACATGTATATGTTTTTCCATCCAGTGTTTTGCTTCTGTAATTATTTTCTTAGTTAAATTCCTAGACTTGGGTAGCTAGGGCAAAAATGTACATTTGTAAGCCTTTTGACAAATACTATCTAATTATCCTTCAGAACTGTATGCTATTGGTACATTAAACTGATACAGTGACAGTGCCTTTTTGCATCTACATCTTAACCAACAACAGATATTATATATCTTTTAATAATTGTCCTATTAGGCAATCGAAAGATATTTCTTTGTTTTTGTAAGTCTTTGATCACTTGTAAGACAAATAAGTATAGTATTATTTGATGTTTGTATTTTTTCTTTGGTGAATTAGTTTTTTTTTTACATCCGTTGTCCATTTTTTTGATGGTACTAATAGTTTAAAAATTGAGTTATAAGAGGTACTTATAAGGAAGTTAAACCTTTGTTATGTGTTATAAATATTTTATCTTCCTTTTCACTTTATTTCAAAAATATTTTTATAAAACCAAATTAATCAAAATTATTCTTCATAGTTTTTATGTTTGGTATAATACTCATATGGCTATTAGTTTTTTTGAATTGTTTTTTGGAAGAGAGTAATTTGTTTAAGTTACAGAGTAGAATTTCATATTCAGGTAGGTTTAATTAAATGTGTTTTTCTGAGGAAAGATTATTCATTTAATAAATATTTATTGCATACTTAACTGTGTGGACATTTTTCTAGGTTTTTGGAGTATGAACAACACAGGAAAAAATATCCTTGTCTTCATGTGTGGACTACTTAATATTTTCATGAATGAATTGTTTTATAAAACCTTTATTTGAGTATAAATAATGATTAGATTTTAACAGATTTTTTTCCCCTAAAGTATCTCATTTGAAGTTGTTCTTATATTTGGACTTGAAATAAAATGGTACCTAATGAAGAGTTTGTGCTTTGGGAGTAGTTTTTGTTAGCAAAAATTTGTCTACTCAATCATGGTAGACAAGTTAAGTATTTCTCCAGTGTATATTTGTAACACCTTTTGGAAAAACACTAGATTTCAAAGGAGGAAGGGGCTGGAAAATAAATAATTGTGTTTTGGTCCTTAGTTTTTCAAAAATATCTTTGAATTTAAAATATGTTAAATATAATCAAATTATGTACGATATTGTTCTGATAGAAGCATTTTTTCCCAAGAAAACCTCATACAGAATGGTGTAAAGTCCATGAGAGTTGCTTCATAATATATGATTGAACATATTTATAATTTGCTGTGTCAGTAGATAAAACTAAAGAGGTCATTTATGACCTCTTTTTGCGTTATGACCTTTTTTGTATTAATAAAATATCCATAACTTACTATAGAAAGCGTAGGGTGATAAGTTCATTTTAATTCCTATTTTTTGTTTAGTCAGAAAATATGCATGTTAAAAAATCAGTAACTCTATAAACTGTGGTGGTAGAACTGATAAATAAGGTTAGAAATTCAACTAAACTTAATAAGAACTTTTTTTTACTCTTTAGAAAAGCTAGTAATTTGTAATCTCCTGAGTAACAATAGTTCTGTGATAATATATTGAATAACATTCACCCTTGTGTGTGTATGTGTGTGTGTAAAAGTGTACATGTTTGAATTTATTTTAAAAAGTGACATAATTTTAAGTATATAGGGTACAAAACTTTCCATTATTTAGAAAATCTAGTGGATCTTATAGGCACTCTGTCATACAATAGAGTGCCTTTTAGTAAATCCAGGTCTCAATTTCACATGTGATCTTTGTTAACAAATAGTAAAATGAAGAGGGGTGTTTCATATCTCAACTACTAAGGAGCAACTCTACTGATTAGAACATGCTACTAACAAGGGCAGAACCTAGGTTTGATGCATCTGAATGCCAGTTCATAATGTCTTGTGCCAGTTTCATGTATTTCACTGATGATCCTGTATATATGTTTTTCTAAATCATTATAATTACAGTATTAAGTTTTTTTTTCTTGGTATAAAGTTATAATCACTAGGAAGCAAGCAAATTTTATCCTAGAATTGAATTTTGCAAGACATGTTTTCTCCAAATGCTCCCTGATGTAAGTTGTGAAACTCATATTACACTTAGGGAAAGGGCCAACTTGTACAACCTTTCCCTCTTCTATTTCTTTCTTTTTTTCCCCATTATTTAGTCTTTTTTTTTTAATTAGGGGTACAAGTAGTTTTTTGTTACATGGATGAATTATATAGTGGTGAAGTCAGGGCTTTTAGTGTACTTGGCACCTGAATGCTGTACATTGTACCCAACAGGTAGTTTTTGATCCCTTACCCGCCTCCCACACTCCGCTCTTCTGAATCTCCCAAGTCCATTATACCTCTCTGCATGACCAAGGTTATCCACCGTTTAGCTCCCACTCATAAGTGAGCACATGCCATATTTGTTTTTCTGTTCCTGAGATACTTCTCTTAGGATAATTGCTTCTAGTTCCATCCTTCTCCTCCATTTCTATCCCAAGCAATTTTTCTTTAATCAAAGGAAATGGCCATTAATGATATCTTTTCAAATCATTGCAATTTTGTACAATGTAAGTACAAAATAGATCAAAAACTAAAGTTGTATATGAGTTTTTACAGCATCAATTTCAAAGTTATTTTTCATCCTTATTCAGCCTGCATCACATGATTTAAGATTCCCATATTGAGGATGAAAAAATTCTTTATATAGGGTGGTTCTTGTCATGTTGTTTTGGGGCTGGACTGGTAATTATAATACAAATAATTAAAATGGCCTTAACCTAGATTGATATATTAATAGATGGTCTTTATAATGCCAGTAGGAATCAAAGTGGTATGGTGAAATTTAGCTTGTATTATTGGGAATTGATTGTAATTTTCATTTATTGAAAGCTTTAACTTTAGATATTAAAGAAAAATATATCAATTTTTTGTATTGTATTAGTGTATAAATTTAGTAAACTTATTTGTTTAGTCCCTTGAATTTGATGGGCAAAGATACTTATCCTAATATCAGCTTTAAGTCTGGAGGAACAATTTATAAGAGTGATTAAACAATGGGGTACCTTTTAAATGTTTATACATTTCCTAGTGATTTTTCAGTTTTCAAATTTTAATCTATAGGATTCTGAAAATACAGAACAGAGAATCCAGTCTCTTATCAACTCATTAAAACACATGGTATATGAATATATATGCCGTTGTCTATTTAAGGTAAGAAGCATTATATTTTTCTAATATATACTACTACTTGATCATCGATTTAATATTTATTTATATAATATTTATAGTATAACTCTTTACCTACTAGAAAGATACTGAAATTGGAATTTCAGATATTTTTGTAGAATAATGTTCATTATTAACTGGAATGGCTTAACGCATTCTGGGATATGGTGGGGAGAAAAGTGACAATTGAGGAAAGAAGAACAACTGAGTTATCAGACAGCTCTAAACATTCTAGTAGTCTCTAAAAGAGAGAACAGCAGTAGATTATGTAGCTCATTATCTAGCCAAGGTTTTTCATGCTCAGCATGATTGACATTTTGGGCCACATAATTGTTGTGAGGGGCTGTTCTGCGCATTTTAGTGTGTTTAGCAGCATCCCTGGCCTCTGATAGCTAATGCCAATAATGCTGCCTCCAGTCAATTGTGAGAATTAAAAGTGTCTCTAGACATGGTTGGAGAACAAAATCTTTTCTAGATATTTTGGATCTCATAAAAAACAGATGCTTTTTTTCACTTAGGATTTTTTTTTTTAATAGACTCTGGGTATAGCTTAAGACATAATGTTGAAGAAGAGCTTAGTAAGGGTAATTAACTAAGTGAGAGAAATAGAGTTATTATGGTTCAATTCTATAGGCTTCTTAGAAAATCTTGAAAAATATATGGTTAAGATAGTTTTCTAATGAGATGGTAATTTTTATGATTTTGTTGAGGATTTTTATTTGCGACAGAATAAATCCTTCAAAGTACTTTTCAGTAGTTTGACAAAGGGATGTTATTGGAAGTTCAAAGAATTATAGTTCAGTGTTTCTGCAGAATTCATTCTTTAATGGGATATATTTTTCTTCTAAAGGTCCTGTATTTAACTATGATTCTCACACTCAACTTTTGGGCCTCAATTTTAACTTGTATAAAATGGGGAATTGTAATCAAATGATCTTAAAACCATTTTGTTACTAAAATGTAATGATCTTAGATATGAGGATAACCTTCAGAGTGATAGAGTTTCATCAGTTTCATCTTATGATATCTCTAACATTGTCTTATGTAATGCTTAAAAATGTTTTATTACATGAACAAAATTTAGAAATATTTTTAGAAAGAGTTTCAAACTTTATGAAACTATATAGAAAAAAACCTTAAAGCTTCATTTCACCCTCTCCAACTCATATTCCTTCATTAGAGCAAACTGGTTCGTTTGACTTGTTCCTTTATAGTCCATTTCTTCTCTCATTATATTCAGATATACAAATATGTAGATAACATTTTAAAAAACATTTTTTTTTTGCTATATATTTTGTTCTGTAGCTTCTCTTTTGTTGCAGTAGATCCTGACATTCTTTCCATGAGTGTAAATGTTAACCTCATTATTTTCAGTGATTGTGTGGTATTCCATAATATGGTCATATATTACTTTATCTATTCTCTTGGTGGATATGAGATTATTTTTCTATTTTTTTGCTCTTATGAATGACTGTCATGAACATCCTGTACAGCCTATTTATCTTTATGTACATGTATATTTCTATTCAGTAGATTTCTGGATTGAAGTATAATGGTTGCTACATGAATTGTACTTTTTAAGTTTTGTCGAATATTACCAGACTGCTTTCTGAAAAGTTTTTTTTTTTTTTTTTTTTTTTTTTTTTTTTTCTTGCCTAGGCTAGAGTGAGTGCCGTGGCGTCAGCCTAGCTCACAGCAACCTCAAACTCCTGGGCTCAAGTGATCCTCCTGCCTCAGCCTCCCGAGTAGCTGGGACTACAGGCACAAGCCACCATGCCCGGCTGATTTATATATATATATATAAATCATATATATATAAATTATATATATATATATATATTAGTTGGCCAATTAATTTCTTTCTATTTTTATGGTAGAGACACGAGGTCTCGCTCAGGCTGGTTTTGAACTCCTGACCTTGAGCAATCCGCCCGCCTCGGCCTCCCAGAGTGCTAGGATTACAGGCGTGAGTCACCGCGCCCGGCCTGAAAAGTTTTTTTTAACCAGTTAATACTTCTATCCACATAGTAATGAAGGCATCTCATCTCCTTCTGTGCATCCTTATCAACCTTGGATGTTATCAGTTTTTTAAAGTTTTACTGAGCTCTGGTTTATAAATCATATCTTATGTTTTATACTTCTCTTTGTTGTTTTTAAAGTTATTTTTACATTTCTCCCTTAGCTTGCCATATTTGTCTGTTTTTTTTGTATTTTAAAGAATAAGCTTTTTGCTTTATATGAATAAGTTTACTTTGCTGTAATTATTTTTATATTAATCATTAGATTTACTTATTTTTTGATTTTATAAATTAAATTTGTATGAGTTTTTTTAAAATGTAGTTTTAATCTTTTTAAATTTTCCAGTGAATATGTTAAGCTACAGAGTTTCATTTTGGTCAATCTTGTAGTAATGTGTTTAATGCTTTTTTATTTTCCTTTCTGAGACCTCTACACTACAATACATTGTGATTTATGAAAATATTATGGAGCTATAGGTATTTTAAGATGCTCCAAATCCTTTTTGAAAGTAGATATGTTATAAATAAATATTATTCTTAAAAATGTTTTCAGTCAAAAGACAATATAAACTTCCTTCTTATTCATTCCAAGATCAGTATCTTTTCTTATTAGGAGTTTCTTGCTTGTTTCTAACTTATATATTTGTACCTCAGTTTATATAGTCTTAATTTATTTTTAGTGATACTGTATACTTGCTGATGAAATTTAAATCCTTCTCATACATTTTATAATGCAATTAGGGAAGGATAGGTATTCAGTACCACAATTATTTAACATATCAATGAAGCATTGTGAGGTTACTTCTTTGAAGTCACTTTACCTTTTAAAATGTATTAAATTAAGCTAAAGGCAGCATTTTGTTACACTGGGAGAGAGGCTGAGAGTCTTAGCCTCCTTAATATTTTACTACCCAGTTGGAATTTTTTCATTTCATATCTTGAATAATACTTTTGTGAAACAGTTGACAATCACAAAAAATAGCTATGGCTTATAATTCTTAAGACATGTTTTTAATTAATGATGGAATATTTGTTTTATAAAATTCATATTTCTGTTTGAGTAACATTACACCTTTGCAGCATGAATTCAGCATTCTGTATAGTTTTGGTGGCAAATAAAAATTCAGAAAGCACATTAATCATAAAGCAATGAGATAAGTTTCTCAAGATTTAACACTATAACCTTACTTAATATGGAACTAATTTCATATTTTAGTGAAAGCTTTTTGGGATTTTAGCAATCAGCATAGCATTAAACTGCCTGCCAGAGTTTCTCTCATGCTGATTTTGCTGTTGTGTTGGTGATAGCAGTATTGCAACAATAGATTCTTGAAAATGGAAACACACTAGAATTATTAGTATTCACATCACACTGAATAGAAAGCAAGTTGACCTGGCACAGAAAAATAATTGACTTGTTTTGTAGTAGGAAATTTAGACTTTTAATAAACTAAACCAAATAGAGAAAGCTGTCTAGCACTTTCAGTTTAGATTATTAGCCATGCCATTCTTTTTTCTTTAAGAAATTACAAGTTTTGAATTCAGTTAACTAAGTTTTTCAGACAATTCTAGGATAAGTTACATATTCGGTTCCCCCAAACTTGTGATTATAATAAAACTATTTAGAAGTAACTAGCTTTACATATCATTTCTTCATCTCAGTTTATCATTTGGAATAGGTACAAAATAATGGAAGTTGTTGTTAAGAGTATTAGTTTCCAGCTATATTGGGTGAGTGTCCAGAAAATGGTTAGAAGGGAGGATTGGGAGAGCATACAGTAGTCCCCTCTTATTTGCGGGGAATTCATTCCAGGACTCCCAGTGGATGCGTAAAACCATGGTTAGTGCCAAACCCTATATAATAATAGTTTTTTTCTTATACTTACATACTTATGATTAAATTTAATTTATAAATTAGGCACAGTAAGACATTAACAATAATAAACTATTAATAATGATACAATATAACAATTGCAACAATATACTATAATAAAAGTTATGTGATATGACATCTCTTTCTCACTCCCTCTCTGTCTCTCTCTCTCTCTCTCAAAATCTTATTGTAGGCCTGGCGCGGTGGCTCACACCTGCCTGTAATCCTAGCACTCTGGGAGGCCGAGGCAGGCGGATTGCTCAAGGTCAGGAGTTTGAAACCAGCCTGAGCAAGAGCAAGACCCCGTCTCTACTATAAATAGAAAGAAATTAATTGGCCAACTAATATATATAGAAAAAAATTAGCTGGGCATGGTGGCACATGCCTGTAGTCCCAGCTACTTGGGAGGCTGAGGCAGTAGGATTGCTTGAGCCCAGGAGATTGAGGTTGCTGTGAGCTAGGCTGATGCCACAGCACTCACTCTAGCCTGGGCAACAAAGTGAGACTCTGTCTTAAAAAAAATTAAAAAAAAATCTTATTGTACTAGGTGGGTACTAAGTGACTAATTGTCAGGTAACATATACAGTCAGGATTCACTGGACAAAGGGATAATTCATGTCCTGGGGCAGGACAGAGGTCAGATGGCTCATGATCTCATAATGCTATTCAAAATGGCTTACAATTTAAAACTTAATGAATTGTTTATTTCTGGAGTTTTCCATTTAATATTTTCAGACCACAGTTTACCATAGGTAAGTGAAACCATAGAAAGCGGATTACTATATTCTTACTATTTTCCATTTCTTATGGAAGTGTTATCTCACAGATCTGAAATGGTATAGAGAGAATGTCTGGCAAGGTATGAAGAGAAATTTTTCATGCAAATACCTTAAAAGTTCATGTCTGTACACCTTTCTTTGCCTCCTTTTCCAAATGAATTTGTTCACTGAGTAAAATTCTGATGAATATTATGTTTTAAAGTATTACTAATATCACATGATTATATTTATTGTAAAAATAATTTGGATTCTGATATTTTTCCTATCAAAATGTATTTTCTTATATTAAAAAAGTAGAAGTTCTTGTCGAATATTTAGAAATTTCACAATTTGTGGCTACTAAAGCAAATCTTGATAATTGAGTTAATTTTCTTCTGCTTAGATAACTCTGACACATTCAGTATTGTATCTAACCCTTTGAGTTTTCTGAAAATACAGTTGAATGTGCATAGAATGGTTCATTGAAATCAATTACTTAGCTTTAGGCACAAATTTGAATGCCCAAGTTATATGCTGTATCAGCTCCTTTGAGATTAAAACAGGACTTTTCTTCATAAGGTAACATCTATTTTATACTTTTAATTGAACATATTTGAAACCAATGAATATTATATAGTTATGAATTACTTATATTCTCTACAGTTTCTTAGTCTCTATGAGAATCATGGAGTTTATAAAATATTTTCGAAGTGATTTTGAAGTGAATATTATATGGTATGTCACTTTGCTATATGTCAGTTATTTTATCCATCACCTTTTGTTAAATGCCCTACCTATATTGCCATTTAATGCATATAACAATTCTATTATATAGAAAAAGAAACTAAGATCTAGAGCTAATAATCTTTCTCTAGGTTACTCAGATCTAGAGGATATTGCAGTTGAAATTCAAAGACATTCTACTTGGTGGCTGAAGATTTTTTACTTTAATAGGATGCAAGTGAAACAAACCACAGTTTCTAGAAATCTGAACTTGATCTCAGCTGTTAAGTTAACTTCAAGATTTCCTCATATCATATTAATCCTAATCTAATAGTTTCACCCTAATTATTTACTTCAGTATGTGCGATTTAATGGTACGGGACAAGTGGCTGATTTATACCACTCTATGATTTACCATCTCTTATTGATTTTTTTTAATTTCAATAGTTATTCATGTCAAGAGTTATTCAGTTGAGATTTTGCTTGTTAAATATACCCCTGATATTAAAATATTTTCTAACAGAACTCAAATATACTGAGATAAATTGATATTGAATTAAAGTGACCACATTTTCTGATAAAGTAGATCAAGGATTTTTTTTTTTTTTCTTTTAAGACAGAATCTCACTTTGTTGCCCAGGCTAGAGTGAGTGCCGTGGCATCAGCCTAGCTCACAGCAACCTCAAACTCCTGGGCTCAAGCGATCCTCCTGCCTCAGCCTACCGAGTAGCTGGGACTACAGGCATGCACCACCATGCCTGGCTAATTTTTTCTATATATATTAGTTGGCCAATTAATTCCTTTCTATTTTATAGTAGAGACGAGGTGTCGCTCTTGCTCAGGCTGGTTTCAAACTCCTGACCTTGAGCAATCTGCCTGCCTTGACCTCCCTAGAGTGCTAGGATTACAGGCGTGAGCCACCGTGCCTGGCCAAGGATTTTAAAAATAACAAAATAATTGCTCAATTTTGGATATTGACAGGTTTTTTTTTTACTTCAATTTAATTGGAAATAGTGCAACCATGCACTTGAGCTCACATTGTCTCTCCCTCCCTGTAAATTCTAATTTTAGTTTTATTTTTGAATCATTGTTCTTCCTCATAATATTATTAAGTACTTACAGCTAAAGAAAATATTTGATACAGCTAGCCCACCAGACAGATGGCAAAAAGAGATTTCTTCTGCCATTTCTAGCCTAGAAAATAATGGAAGATGATCCTGGTTGGTCTGGCTCAGGTCATGTGTATCTTTTGAATCAATATCTGTAGAGTGGTACAATGTAATTAATAACACGATAATTATGTGCTTATTTCTAAGGTCAGGATTTCTTCTGTGACCAGAAAAAAGAGAGAAGAATACCTGTTTATTAACCACATAGTGTGTGCCTATTTTTTGACAGCATTTTGGAGTTTGGCCTCAGTAATAATTAGCAATTAGTTTACTGACTCCAGAGGATAATCTGAGGATCATAGAATGACAGGGGCTTTCCTTCTCTCCATTAACACTAGAGACTACATTATTCTTCAGTTCAAGGGAAGAAATGTAGTTATACTGTGTGTAAGTTTTTGGGTATTTATGTCTGTTATAAAGAGTTAACTATATCACTAAATTATAATTATTAAACTATATCATGAAATGATAAAGGCTTCGAAGAAATACATTTTTGTTTTGTCATTATATATTTCTTCACCATAAACTAAGGATGTTATTATAATCATTTAAAACAGCACATTTATTAATTAAGCATCTTAGTCGTTTATTAATTAAGCATCTTAGTCATTTTTCCATCTAATTATTATTTAACCCCTATTGATAAAAGTAGGTAATTTGAAGACATAATGCATATATTTGTGAACCAAAATTCAAGGACTTTGCTTTTGCAAAAACACAAATTTTACAAAAGCAAGATAATACTTGTTATTCTTTGCAGGCTGATCAGTTGATGTTCGCTTTGCATTTTGTTCGAGGCATGCATCCTGAACTTTTTCAAGACAATGTAAGTCAAAGAAGGAAAATTTTAGAGCTATATAAAAATTTGGTGATGGGTGGATTTATTGTTAGATTAGAAGTTACATATGAATGTATTAATCTTTTACTAAGTTAGAAATTTAGTGTAAATTGCCAATCTACTCTGCTCTGTTTAGGGTGAACCTAACATTCCAGAGTGGTAGTAAGGCAGGGAAAGAAATCTAACTTACTGAGCAGCCTGGATTTTTCTGAACTTAGGGCTCCAGAAGAGTCAGCCTTCTTATATTCCTGGCCTAAGCAGTAGAACTGATAAATAGAAGTGAGACAATATTGGTACATAACTACATTATTTATAACTTTCACTGCCTTGTCAAGAGTCAGCAGGCGACGTACAGGGTGGCCAGTTCTCAGAAGTTTCCTTGAGTATACAGGTTTATGTTTATCTTTTATATATAATTTATCTTCTTTGTCTATGATCTCATTTCTGGTCTGCCATATAACCCCTCTCAAACTTCAAAAGAACCTCTCATGAGCTAGACCGAACTAAATCATGTCTGGTTTGGTTCCAATTTTTAAAAAGTTTATTTGCAAGTGGTTTTTCTCATTGTTACGCCATTATCATAAAGTGAGAATCCAGTAGCCAGAGTGCCAGGTTATGGTAAATGGACAGTGTGACTTGGTCAAATTTTAGCTATCTTCTGAGTTCCCCTCATTCGAATAGTTAAAAATACAATTCTACCTATATTCTTTCTGTGTTTTTCTGTAACTCTCCATGCACTGGCTGACTTGCTTAGTTTTTCCTGAGCTTATGAACTTGACTCTTTTTATTTCTATTGTTAACATTGATGTCTTTCCCTCCTTTTATATAATGTGTTTTCACCATGATCAGTATGTTCCATGCAATATAAGATTATATTCCCTATTTTTCCCTACTAGCGTATAAATAAATTATCACTGAGAAATGAAAACAATTTTTTGACTCTCATATTGCAGTGGTAATCATTCCTATTTTACTTATTTGTGCCTGCATAATTCCATAGGAAGAGGTGTGGCCAAAGTGAGTGGAAGCATGAAGTACATTGCTTTGGTAGTTTTTACATATTGCTCTCAAATTTTTATATATTTTATTTATTTGCTGGCCTATGTGTGACAGATAGTGTGGTAGTACCCATCATTTTCTAACTGGGCAGATTCCAGAATGAAGACATAGATTTTCTTAACACTTGATTAATCTTGATTCTGTGGTTTAAAAAGTATTAATGGCAATCCCCTCCCATCTGTAGAAAAAGATAAGTTAATGTAAAAGTACTTTTCTTAATTTTTCTTAACATATACAATGTTTAAATTTTTGGTACACCTCACTGCTTATTTATTGAGGAATAGGATATGAAAGAACTATTTAACAGGTGGTGATGAATGTTACTTGAATATGACATTTAAATTTTAAGATGTTGAGACTCATATGTCTAATGTAGTTTTTGTTTTAATAAAATTATTCCTGGTTGATTTCATATTAATGTTTTGTATTGGTACACGAACTCATTATATTAATGTACTAGAAGAAATGAGAAGATATGAAAGGAGGTTTTTTTTTCCTATGTCCTTGTAAGCCATTGTAAGCACTCTTATAGGGAAATTAAAATAATTTTATTGACTGGTCATTATTTTTATATTTTTTGTGTTCCTCATATTTTTTATTCAATAGGAATGGGAGACATTTACAGGTGTGGTTGTTGGAGACATGTTGCGGAAAGCTGTAAGTTAAAATAGCAAAATCTTATTTCATTCTCAGAGAAAATAGTTCTGGCTTTGGCTTCATGAAATATAATTTACCTCAGAAGAGTTTTAAATTTTTTTGAAATTATACTTGGATTAGAGGAATATGTTCTGGCCTCTATTGCCCGTCTATAAAATGCACTAAGAGATATGTTTGACTTTAAAGACATATTCTTTTGGGAATAATATTAAATACTAAGAAATTAATGTAGCTCTCTTTTCTCAATATATGTTTTTTACTCCATGAATAATTTTATATTTTTTAAGAAAAATTTTATAACTTGAAAAATTTTATCACATAACTAAAATTTAAAAATTACTTTAAAAAATTTTAATAATTTCAAATTTAGCAAATTTCATTCAAATTTTCTTTTTAAATACATAATACATAAAAGAAATACATATTTCTTTTTAAATATTCTTTAAAACAGTACACCCAAAGTACAACAAAGGACTTAGATCATGTTTGAAATGTGAGATATAATTTTAAAAATAACTTTTTGACAGTTTCTTATGACATCTACGTTTTCCTAAAGTTTCATGAAATACTAAGTACAATGAAAAAAATGATTCCAACATTTGTCTAAATAGTTATTTATAACTTAGGTTATATAGAATTTTACCATGGTGACTTGTAAAATGTATAAAAAATAAAGAATATATAGAATAAGCATTTTTCAAAATAGTATTCATAAAAATAGCTAGTCAGCTGCTTTTTTTAAACTCTGAATTTTACCAAATATAGTAAGGAAAACAATTGCTTTTATTAAAGGACTCTCAACAAAGAATACGTGATCAACTTCCATCTTGGATAGATCAGGAGAGAAGCTGGGCGGTAGCAACATTAAAGGTATTCCTTTTCTACTAGGAGGGATATTTTGATTTTTTCTATAATCTGAGTTAGTTATGTTGTCACTTTGTATGTGCTATTTATTCATACTTAGATATGAATATGTATGTCTGGATAAAGCATTTTTATATACTTATGTTTGTACTACATGAAGTTCTGTACTTAAGTTATAAATCTTCTAAATTCCTTATTATTTTCAATGAAAATTCTCCATCTATATAGATTTACATTTCTGATCTTATATCCCACTCTTGAAAAAAATTTGGAAAAAGAAAACACTGTTTTAGGTAAAAAAAAAAAAATGAGTATGCTTGGAAAAACCTCTGAAAGATGATATTGTTTAAAGTGAATATAGAATGCCAAATAGAAATTTATGAGATAGTAAAGAAGGTTAAAACATTTAGAGGCAAAAGAAGCAACATAATCACAAATAGGGGTGTAAATGAATATGGTTTAGAAAAACATGCTTTGTTAAGAATTTGATATTGTTACCAGAACTGAAAAGATGTTAAAGCTGCAAAGATAAATTTTATTCAAGAGAACTATTGCATTAGGGGGAAAGAGACATCAGTATAGAATTGGGCTCGATTCTGAATATTGCATGAAGTGAGAATTTATAGCCAAAGAGCAGGGTCTGTGGATGAAAAATTACTAAGAGAAAATGTCAGTGTTAAGTGGGGATTCTGGCTAAATTGATTTTGCAGGATTTTTGCTGGAGGCAGACCAGGGTGATCAGATACCAAGAGTGAGGAATGAAGAATTTTATTGGATATTAATGGTAGGATTCTTGCTATAGTGACTTAGCAAGACTGTTGTTAAAACTGGATACTACAATAAAGGACATGAAGCCCCAATTGAGTCCTAGTCAGAAAGAAAACTCAGAGGAGCCTGACCAAAGTTTTCTCAAAGAGGGTCTTTGTCAATATCAATATGAAGTTTGATATATTTATTGTGGCAATCCTTAAAATTTGTGCCTGATTTTAATGAAGCATTGCTTTTCTCCACCAGGTGGAGATAGCTAGATACAAATGTTTTACATAGAGAAAAGATTTGTTAACTTACTAATGTTGATTTAATACTACTTTGGAAATGTTTTATTTAATTCTGGATTTAACATTGGATGAATCTAGAATATTGTTGCTGACCTACAGATGATTAAACATGCCAACACAAAGTAGAAAATAAATAATGCACAACTATTAATAATTGATTTTTATTTGTTTTTAATTTTTTTAATTATGTATTTATATACACTGTAGCTTACTATATGTGGTTATTTTTATTTTTAGATTGCTCTCCCTAGTCTTTTTCAGACCCTTTGCTTTGAAGATGTAGCTCTGTGGCGTACTTATTATCATAATTCGATGTGTGAGCAAGAGTTTCCATCTGTTCTTACAAAGAAAGTTTCCTTATTTCAGCAGGTAAACTTTAGTGTAACTAAATGCAAAAAAGTGTTTAATGTTTTTCTTATTATTCAGAAGCCATTTAAATGAAAACTTTGCCTTTAGAATATTACTTAACCTTTAATGGCTTATGTGGGGAAGTGTTTTTTGTTTTTGCCCCATTATTCAGACAATTAAATCCCTGGCAAAGTTAACGGGTTGGGCATCTTTCTCTGTAGCTTTTCTTATTTCCTCTATCTCTAACACAAAGGAGATCTTGCAATAAGAAAAATGTCTTCTAGAAAGAAACTAAAGTACAAATTGTATGGGTTCTAAACTCATTTCTTAGAGTTCTGTCTGAAAAAAGACTTAATAGTGAGAGGAACAGATTTTTTCAGATTCTATTTCAAAATAAACAGTGAAACCTAATGATAGGTTCCACTCAAGTTTTTTGCTAATGAAAAGACTTTTACTATCCTGTAGAGTAGGGAGCTCTCCAGAAGTTGACGCTGTAGGAAATGACCTTTCCATCTATTTATCTCTTTTCTATGCTGCTGACTGTGGGATCTCCATATTCACCAAATGTGCTGTGAAAAGACAAAAAACAATCCCCAAAAACAACTAAGAAAAAATTCATTTAAAAACTTAAATATCCAGGAATATCACAGATATACATGATTCAGCATAAAGATGGTGATTTGAAAATTTTAGGCAGGATTTCTGGGCCTCTGTTTGCTGTCACCAGAAGTGCCTTACCCACTATTTAGCCCTTTATTAGATCCTGAGGACATATCTAACCTATGTTTACTTTTGATGATAGGCTTGAGGAAATAAATGGATTTCAGCAATATTTTGGATATTAAAGAGGTATCTTGGTATATACATATTGTGACAGTCTGAAGCATAATAAATACTATGAAAAATGATATGTTTATATATTTTACTAAGCATTTGTATAATTAGTTAACATTTACTATTGTTTAATTAAAGGTGTTTTATTCTTTAAAAATATTCTGCATTTTATTTTAAGGTTCTTGTAGTACAGGCTCTAAGACCGGACAGATTGCAAAGTGCCATGGCTCTTTTTGCATGTAAAACTCTGGGTAAGTGCAAGACTTTTCAAGAACTAGACCAATGGACTGAATTATTTGTTTTTAATTTACATTTTATTTTTATGATGACCTTAGTTTAGAAATGTTATAAGGTTTTTTTTTTAATTCATTCTATTTATTTAACAATCTCTACTTCTTTTAGAAAAACTATTCTCTGTGTTGCATATAACCATATGTAATGTTGAAGTAAATTTGATGCATAATTGACATCCTATATTTAGTAAAGGTATTTGAGGATTTAAAAAATTTTTTCTTACAAAAGCATTTTAGATGTTAATATTTGTCCATGATTAGAATTTCAACAAAGGCAAATGTTCATGCCCAAACTGTTCTGCATAAATACTACTTCTAGTCATACCTAAATGAAAAATTTAGACAATTAAAGTAAAATGTATTCAAATATACCATAGTCTTGGAAATAAAATCTTTAAAATGAGTTGTTTTGCAATGTCTAAAGCAAAAAATGGCAATTTGTCTTTTTAATCAGAAACTGCACAACATATTCCTATTAAGCCTTTCAGATAGTATTGCCTGAAGACTTCAAAGTTATCACCCATTTGGAGATAATTCCATTTTTGCAAGAAAAGTTTAGAAAAAAACCATGCCAGGAAAGACTATGAAAAGGATTTTACTTGAAGCACAGAAATCATTGAAGAATCATGGGTTGCTTACCGCGGCAGCCACTGGAGAGCCCAGCTATGGCTTTTGGGCTAACCCATGGCCGGGGGCCTCAACAAGGGCCCTAAGGTGACCAAGAATGTGAGCAAGCCAAAGCACAACTGCCACTGTGGATGCCTCACCAAACACACCAAGTTTGTGTGGGACATGATCCAAGAGGTGTGTGGTTTCATCCCAAATGAGTGATATGCCATGGAGTTGCTCAAGGTCTCTAACAACAAATGGGTCCCCAAATTCATCAAGAAAAGGGTGGGGACACATACCTATGCCAAGAGGGAGCCAGAGGAGCTGAGCGACATCCTGGCCACCATGAGGAAAGCAGCTGCCAAGAAGAACTGAGCCCTCTCCATTCTGTGCACAATAAAACTGTCATAGAAATACAAAAAAAAAAAAAAAAGAGAGAGAGATCATGGCTCTTTATTATTTCTAAATTGCAGGAGTTTTAGAATTATGTTGGAAATGAAAAGTATGGCATAGTTAAAATAGTATGCTGACAGTTTTTTTAAAAAAATTTTTTTATTTCTAATTTTTCCACATATATGTATATGAAATTTTATTTAGAAACTTTATTATTAATTATAACATATATATTTGAATCAAATAAGACTAACATCATCTGTATATTTTCTCTAAATTAGAATTTCTCATGTAAACAGTCTAGCACAGAGTTCTACGAAATTGAATAAAAATATTGGGCCTTTCCTGCTTATCACTGAAAAACTTTTTGGTACTCTATATATAATGAATGTAGAATAATCATTCTCTTATTAGCAGATAAAGCTATATTTGGATTTATCAGGATATTATTTTGAGAAATTGTCTCTTGTCTTCAGATTATCAATTTTATCCTAGTGAACATACTCTTTTATTTAAATTTGGATGTTCATAATGGTCGTACCTAACACTTAACTAATACAAATCCTACCTAACACTTAACTAATTCTTATTATATGCCAGGTACTAATTTAATACTATATATGTATCAGCTCCTTTAATCCTTATAGGAACCTTATAAAGTAAGTGCTATTTTTATACCCATTTAAATATGAAAAGACAAGATCATACAGCTAATAGATGACAGAATTTAAACCCAACTCCAAAGTCTGTGTTCTTATTAAATACTGAAATAGTCAAATTTATTCTCAGATTAGAGAGAGATTATTGGCAGATGGTGATGTAAGTCTCAAACCTTATGTCTATCCTCATTTTTTTTTTTTTTTTTTTTTTTTTTGAGACAGAGTCTCGCTTTCTTGCCTAGGCTAGAGTGAGTGCCGTGGCGTCAGCCTAGCTCACAGCAACCTCAAACTCCTGGGCTCAAGTGATCCTCCTGCCTCAGCCTCCTGAGTAGCTGGGACTACAGGCACAAGCCCCCATGCCCGGCTGATTTTTTATATATATATATATTAGTTGGCCAATTAATTTCTTTCTATTTTTATGGTAGAGACGGGGTCTCGCTCAGGTTGGTTTTGAACTCCTGACCTTGAGCAATCCGCCCGCCTCGGCCTCCCAGAGTGCTAGGATTACAGGCGTGAGCCACCGCGCCCGGCCTTGTCTATCCTCATTTTAACCTACTATATTAGTTTCCTATAATTGTCATAACAAATTACCACCAACCTTGTGGCTAAAAACAACAGAAATTTATTGTCTCATAGTTATGGAGAGTAGAAGTCTGAAATCAAGGTGTTGGCAAGGGTATGCTTCCTCTGAAACCTATAGGTCAGTCCCCTCTTGTCTTTTCCTAGAGTCTGGTGGTTTGCTTGCCATCTTTGGTGTTTTGTGGCTTGCCAGTTGCTCAACTTAAATCTCTGCCTTCATTGATTGTCACCTGGCATTTTCCCTGTGTGTGTGTGTCTTTATATGGCTATCTTCTTGAAGGAACACCAGCCATATTGGATCGAAGTATACTGTACTCCAGTATGACCCCATTAGAAGTTAACTAATTATATCTTCAATGGCTCTATTTCCAAATAAGGTCATATTCTGAGGGACTGAAGTTAGAACTTCAACATATCATTTTTTGGGGAACAATTTAACCCATAACACTTACCAACCCAGCTTTTCATATGACGCCTGTGTTCTGCCTCACCCTCTGTCACGATATGCATGTGCATACACACAAGTATTTTGATCATTTGGTTGATTAGTGATTGGCATATGGAAATGTGTCTTGACATACTTTTTGCTTTCCTTAACTCATGCCTAGAGAGGAAATGTCTCCATTTATTCATCTCTCTTGGAGTGTTGGAGTACTATTCCTTCTACTGCAATCTTGCCCTGGATTTCTTTATTTCGTTATTATACATTCTCCCTCTAGGTGATCTCACCCAATCCCTAGCTTTAAATATCATCTGTAAATTATTGATTCTTATATCTCTTATTTCTAGCTCTAGAATTCTGGGCTAATGTATCCAAATGCTAACTCAGTGTTTTCATATGAATGTCTAATAGCCATCATAAATTTAATGTGAACAATACAGAACATTTGTTTATACCAGCATCCATTCAGTTCAAACCAAAAACCCAAAAGTACAGTCATATGTTGCTTAACAACAAGGGTATGTTCTGAGAAATGTGTCATTAGGCAATTTTGTCCTGCGAATAACATAGAGTGTGTTTACATAAACCTAGGTGGCATAGCCTGCTATACACCTACACTATATGGTATAGTGTGTATTGTTTCTAGGCTACAAGCCTGTACAACATGCTACTATAATGAATACTGTAGGCAATTCCAACACATTGTTAAGTAATTGTGTATCTAAACATAGAAAAGGTAAAAATATGATAATATAATCTTATGGAACCACCATAGTATACATGTCTGTTGTTGACTGAAAAGTTATGTGGCATGTGACTGTAATTCTTTTCTCTTTTTTCCTTACTTCCTATACCAAATCTACCAGCAAATCTTCTTGGTTCCAACTTAAAAACTTATTCCAAATTCACTTTGCCTCGTTACTACCAACCTAATGCAAGCTATCATCTCTCACCTTAATTACTGTTATAGCTTTTATTTGTTGTCTAGATCTGCAGAATATATCTGGAATTAAATCACTTCTCACAACCGCCTCTACTACTATCTACCACTTTGTTCAAGCCACTGTCATATGAACAAGATTATTGCCATTCAGACTTCTGTCCTTCTCTACTTCTAATTTATCCTCAACTTAGCAGCTATTTATATTGAAATATAAATGAGATCATATCACTCCTTTGCTCAAACTCTTCTGATGGCATCTCATCTTTCTCAGAATCCTTACGTTGTCTTACAGGGTCTTACCTCTTCTGTTCTTCTGTTTCCCCTCAGATCTCATCTCCTACCACTCCTCACCCTTGCTGAATTCTTTACCAACATAATATCCTTTTTCCTGTTTTTCTAGTGCTTTAAGTGTGTTTCTGGAATATCAGAACACTTGCACTTGGTGTTCCTTCTTCCAAGGGAACTCTACCCTTGGTTATCTTCCTCACTTCTCTGTTCAAATGTCATTTTTCAGGTAAGACTTCCCTCTGCATTTTGTGTAAAATAGGTACTTACCCTCCCCTCAGCTCTCTGTATCTTCCTTTACCTTGTTTATTTTCCTCTGTAACTGTTATTACCATCTTGACATATTGTTATCTTTTGTTGTTGTTTATTAATTGTCCTGCAACTAGAATATATGCCACATGAAGGAATAAACTTTGTTTTATGGTTGTGTCCCCAATGTCTTAAACAGCTTCTGAAACATACAGGCTCTAGCAGTGTGTGTTACATCAGTGATTACCTTCCTAATTGTTTCTCCCTAGTGTGATTCTTGCTTCCTTTTCAATCCTTTCTCTCCAGAAGGCTGTGTGATGTTTTTAAAACCTATACCAAATCTTTCTTGGATAAAATCTTCAGAGTCTCCTCAAAACATTTAGAATGAAATCAGATTCCTTATCTAGGATTACAAAATCCCACACAGTCTGGCCCTGCCTGAGTGGCCTCATCTAATGCTCCTCTTGCTTACCCACTGTGCTTTAGTGGGCAGAACAAACCTAGGCCCGTTGCATGCTCTGTTGCTCTATGTTTTCTCTCCTTTTCTTTTTTTTTTTTTTTTTTTTTTTGAGACAGAGTCTCGCTTTGTTGTCCAGGCTAGAGTGAGTGCCGTGGCGTCAGCCTAGCTCACAGCAACCTCAAACTCCTGGGCTCGAGAGATCCTACTGCCTCAGCCTCCCAGGTAGCTGGGACTACAGGCATGCGCCACCATGCCCGGCTAATTTTTTATATATATATATCAGTTGGCCAATTAATTTCTATTTATAGTAGAGACGGGGTCTCGCTCTTGCTCAGGCTG